ATCACGGCAAGGTTTCTTTGAATTTTTTAAATAGAATTCCATTTTTCATTACATATTCTCATATATAACTTACCTCGAGAACTCTTTTCAGAATACTACAATAAAATTCTTTTTTATTAAGTACTTTTCGTTATAGGGTTTGAAAGTTGTATATAATCTTTTGTTTAAAAAATGTCTTTTTTGTTGTAAGTAGCTTGTATGAAATAGATGTATATTCATCCTACAACTTTTCAATTTCTTTAAGCTGTCGGAAATGCCTAAAAAATTATGCGCACTATTATGTTGTACACTTGTGTGTGTGTGTGTGTGTGTGTGTGTGTGTGTGTGTGTGTGTGTGTGTGCACTTGACTTATAAATAAAATTTTTATTTTTAAGCGATCTGACTGTCCAGTTCTTTTAAAAGAAAAGATATAATATGCATAAAAATATATAAAAAAAAGGAATATTACAATAATAATACGTAATTTTAATACTTTGATTATGCGATATAATTCGGCAAAATTCAATGAGATATATTTTTTGCTATTGAGCAACAATTTTGAATTGACAATGTGGAATTATAACTTTTTTCAATATATTATGTAAAAAAAATATGCAAGCATATTATTTTACGTGATGAAATACAGTTATTGTAATATCATACGATACGATATACATATAAAATTGTAGTATATATTATGATTAATTATGAATCAATGATATAAACTTTCATTTTTTCAATTCAGTTCATTATTAAAAAAGTAGTTTAAGAATCTATATTAAAATTATATAATTTATCGTCAACATAGATAACTAATAAGCTTAAATAAAATAATATACTTCTATAATTCACATTTTGAAATATAAAATTTTATTAAAATATTGGCAAATCTTTATCATCTAACTATACATTTTTAGTCATTACATTAAGTATCAAATCTGGCTACTCGAGCCTGATTTAACACTTAATGCAATGACTAATAAACTTATAGTTAGATTTTTATTTTATACTGGCAAGTTTCATTTTGCATATTTTTTATAACGATTTTCCGCAAAGCTTTGATAGTGAAGGAAAAAAGATATTCCTTCTTTAGACCGTTAATACAGATAACCTTTGGTTACATAATAAGAGCACTACTATATTATTGTATTAATATCGCTCAATGTATACATGTATATATTTGTTTGAAAACTATTCTATTAGTCTTTAGTTAATTGGCATTTCACGATATATGGCTTCAAAATATAAATGGATGAGGTCGTTACAATCGGTTCTATACGTACATTTAAACAATCTACGATATTTACTTTGTCCATACTTGTCCATCTCGCAATTTATCTAAACGTAGATGGCGTAGACTAATTCTAATATCTATTAGTAGTTGAAAATATATAATTTATATTTCACATATAGAATATAAAAACGATGATAATGAATTTCGATGATGTATGTCATGTTACACTACTACTATTAATTTATTATATATCGAATTTAAAAATTAATCACAAAAGCAGATATAATCCACAATTGGCAAAAGGAGAAAGAATTTCTTCGTAATTATGCGATATGTATACAGAGTTTTTGTGTGCGGTGACATATCTACTTTATTTTTATAAAGCAAAATATATTTTAGTAATCGCCACTGTCATGAAATTATGATGTAATAAGTGAGAAATAACATGTTAATTTTTGTTACGTGCCATTTGTTAGTAAAGACAATTTTGATAAAAGGAAATGATGAAATCGCTTTAAAATATTGTGAAAATAGATCAAAACTATTCTTCTCCCATTGACAGTCAGTAAATAGTTGTAAAGATATGTGAACAATGAAAGTGAAAATAAGCTGCGCATGCGCATTGAGTAAACGCGTGCACGTGCCCTTTAACATCTTTTATGACTATTTACTGACTGTTAGGGAGGATAAAGACAGCATCGATCCATTTTTAAAAGTATTTTAAAATGATCTTATCATTTTTTATCATTTTATCAAATTATTGTTATTTACAAATAGCATATAACAAAAATTAAGATGTCATTTCTTTCTTCCTTATGACGTCACGATTCAATATGGTAACGGCGACTACTCAAAAGAGCTTTAATTCTCAAATTAAAAAAAATTATGAATAATATAATGCTTGAAAACAGACCACTATAAGATATATTCTTCGTATTATCTGAATATATCGGTTAAATACGATGGCATGTTTATTTTTTTCAATTCAGATGGACGGATTAATTTATGTGTGATTTGATTGAGTCCCACCCATCTTCTGTTGCATCATAGTTAAGAGCAGTTCGGAATATTGCTGCATCATATTGACTACCTTGCTCTGGTCCTGACCCGCGAGTAATTCTTGAAACTTTGCTGTCGCTTCATTAGTGATGGCGTTCTCACTACTTCCGTCATTGTCATTCTCACCACCAGCAACAACCAGTCGTAGAGTACGCATAGTTTCATTAACGGACGATTCCAATCCTCGTAGCATTGTATCTCGGTCGATCGCTCCTGTAGATGGGTCATTGTCTATCGTCAAACGTTTGTACAATTGTACGACATTGTCCGCAGTGCGTGTAAGCTCGTCTGCAATCGTATTGCACAGTTGTGTGGACACTGTAAGAATGCATATCAGTATTATATTTATACTATGTATGTGTATAAATCCAATAATTATATATGTATAATAAGAAAATAAATTTAATAAATAATAATGTATCGTAAGGTATGCATGTTATATTGGTTTTAGATCCGAATTTCATTCATAATTGATATCTATTAAGCCGTATAATCTTTAAATTTTTTTTCTAAAGGTTCTCCAAACAGTTTATTGATGACGTACGTGTATACAATAAATAATTAAAATTGTATGAATATATAGGGTTAATGGATTTAAAAAAACTACACTATGTTCTAAAAACAGATATGTTCTAAGGATAAAAATAAAAAAAAAGGTAATTAGTATTCAGAATCGTTTTCTTAGCTCAAATTTTAATAAAAATATATTCATTAGATGCGTTTCACTCAAAATAAAAGAATCTGGCAAAAAAACGCAATTTGCCTCGCGAAACAAGTTATTAAGCGTTAAAGTTTGTCAAGTACTAGGCTATTCCTCGTCCTGATGAATTAAACTGCAACGTTCACGAAACGTTGGCATTCTAAGAATGGATCTGGGGCCCTATTCTTGAGCACATATGAATAATTTTCGCATATGAAAATGACAGTTTCTCGATTATGATTGATCGATTGTATACAAAATTACTATTTTGATATGCGATATTTGTTCAAGAATAGGGCCCTGGATACAGAGATAACCCGCGAAACGCATAGTTTCTGTATTCTTTAATGTTATACATTCAAATCCATAAGAAATCAAAAACAAGAACCAATTTTTTGAATACCGTAGTGCCTAAGAACATAAGGTAGCTCTTTACCGATAAATGTCGATAGAGTTTTTGTATGGCTTCGTTTTTGTATTACGTATAAAGTCATAAAGAGAAAATACTTTATTTCTCATTTTGTAAAGATCACATTCTAATAAACGTTAAAAAATATCACTGGATATTAACATATATCTATGTATATCTATGTATATTATGTGAAACATTCAACATTGTTCGATCCAAATCATCAAGGGTAATTGTAAATTCGACACTAAAAGCAATTAGATGATCCGCACGCAAGAATAAATTATCGGACACAGAGGATCTGGAGATTTCGATAACAGCAAAACATATATCATACAACGGTAGTTGAAAACCACAATATTTGGTAAGTTGTACCAAAATAGCCAAACACGAGGTTAGTCATATATTTAAGTTATCAATCAAGATGAGACGAAAAAAAGATAATACTATTGAAAAGAAAACGCGCTAATATAAAAACAGCACGCGGCAAAAATTACATTGAGTTCATGGATATCACATCAGAAAATGTCGCGCAAGCTAAGACTTGATTAAATAAGACTCAACGAGAATTCAATAGATACAATCAGAATTAGAATTATTGGATCAGAACAAAGCGTCAAATAAAGGTTTTAAGATTGCATTTTTCACGTAGAGTAGCAGAATATAGTTAATTATAAGTGAAGATAACGTCAAGTTACCGACATCTTCAAATAGTTCGACGTCGCGATCGCGCACAGACGGAAATGTTCGTTTGCCCAAGATAGTATTACCGACATCTTCTGGGTGCTGTGACGAGTGGATGCCCTTTCACGATACCTTCATTTATTAATTCACTAATATAACATTATCTAACATACAACGATCCCATTATTTCAAATCATCTTTGATTAGCGAAGCAGCGGAGGTGGTACACTCATTAGAAATCACCGAAAGCAATTGTGCGAATGCCTGATCGATGTTCAAGGAACGATATATGGAGATAATTTTTTTTTAATTTATCCTAAAAATATGGTAGTGTGATACAATACAATATTTTAAAGATTTTTATCATATATCTCAGTAAAATTAATCAAACTTATTTTATATTTTATTATAGTTTTATTAATGAATGAGAGAAATTTACACAAAATTCTTCGAAATACAATGTTGTCCCAGGACTACTATATTTTCAGGATAAATTCTAAGAAAAAAATTACAAGTATGGAGAGAATTTTAGTAACAAGCGCGTTATAATACGCAAACACGTTAAGACTATCTTTGAGTTACTTAGTATTTCTAATGCTGATTTTACAATGACTCGGTAGTCGAGAGTCCTAAGTCTTATCGGTAAAGTTGATTAGTAACCAACTTGTACAACTAACGCTAATTGATCAACTTCATCGATTAAGACTAAGAGTGCCAAACATAATTTGCGTAAACGTAACTTACGTCAGCCAATCAAATCGTTTCAACTAGAATAAAGCATCTGATACAATTTGATATGATTTCATTGGTTGACGCAAGTTACGTCGCATGACGGCAACCTAAGATTTTCGATTACAAACTCACTTGTAGAATCAGCATAAGAAAAATCGAGTATTATTAAAGCAAATCGTAAATGATAGGTTGAAGTGTACAAAAGCATTAAAAGCACTAGGCCGACCGACAGATGCTTAATATATTGATGTATTAGATATGAACCAAGTTAGATACATTGACAATGAAAGAATAGCAAACAAGCCTTAATAGGCTCTAGTATACCCGATTTCAAACAAATAGCAGATTTTTTATTACACAAAGGTCAGACCTTAGAGGTAGTTGGCAAAGGATTATACGCTGCACTATCCAATGCTGAGTTAAAATCCAATAAATCGAAAAATACTACTTCACATGTAGTAAATGTTAAAGAGAAATGTATCCGATATATAGTGTGGCGGCGATCATTTTATTTTTCATTGTAAGAAATTTCTTTTTTGATACAACGAAATTATATCATTAGTAGATATCTTTTTTAATTACCTATTTTATCCATGCCTACTGCAAGAATAAAAAATGTTAGATGTATGTATAATGTTAGATATCTACTATATAACATAGATGTATTCATCAATAGATAATGATTGCATACAAGGTGTTTAACGTAATGTTCTACATGATTTTTTTAGACACTTTCAATAGTTAAGGGGATCTTAAAGACGATTGGTCATAGTGTAAGTAGAATATACACACAGATGATTTACGTGTCACTGACACATTATATACTATTACATCAATCTCACTCACGCCATACCTGCACATTTTTCGTATAACAATAACGTTTTTAATTAGACGTCTAAGTTCAATTTAAAAAAATCTACGTTGTTTTTTCATGCAAACTATTAGTCTGTGGAAGTACAGATTGCATGGTTTTTATACGAAGCAAATATTGTCACGATATGACAGTTCTGGATATATTGGACTAAGAAATAGTAAAGATTAATTTTGAAATTTTTTTACATTCTCAGCATAAACTTCACCTCATAGACACATATTAATGTATATACGTTAGGCCTGGAAAAGGATTTTCGAATTTGAAAAGAGGAAAAAAGTAATTGTTATACAAAATTTATATGGTTTAGTCAGTAATACAGGCGACTTTTTAGGATCTCTTTAAAAGAAAAAGTTGGAAATTAAATATTTATCTATTTCATGCAGGCTACAACATGCGAGATAAAAGAAATAGGTTTTTTTCGATCAAGATTATCTTGAATTTTTTAAATGACCATACAATTTTTTTCCATAATATGTAGGAATTTTCAAGGTGAATTCAATGCACTATCGAGAATGTCACTTTTATTGACAGTCCTGCACTAGAACTCTCTTTCTCGCTTTCACCTAATATTAAACATATCTCACTTTAAGTTCCAAAAGTGTACACTGGTTCAGCCACAAAAAACAAATCCTCTGCTTATAACACGATTTCTAAAGATATCTCTAAAATAATTTTGAACTCGTACATTATAGGCTAGAAAACCTTTTCGTGTACATTTCAGAGCTATAAATATTGCTGTTACAAATAATGTTGCGAATAATATTTGATATTAAATATCAATAAAATCGATAAAACATTAATGAAAGTGACATTCTCAATAAACGTATATGAAGTTGATATCTCATCTTTTGGCACCGCAAGTTTTGATACAAGTTCCATTGGCACTTACAATGGTTCTGTAGTTCCTGATAGATTTTAGAAATAATTCCGTCCTCTAAGTATTTTTAAGTAATAATTAAACCCGCGCACGTCAAGAGTGAAGTACCTCTTAATAGCCAGTTTCAGCCAACTTTTTGGCATTTTCCGATAGTTCTACAATAGTTCCGACGCTTTCTATAAGTTTTGTTCAGAGTTACAGTCTTTACGTATTTTTAAATAATTTTTAAATTATTTTTAAATAATTTTTTAATTTGAGCACTGGCTTTTTTTAACGCTAAATCAACGGAACTATTTCTAAAACCTATCAAAAACTATATAAGGCGTATGACTTTGCTTATGCGGTTTTTTTCCGAAATTCGAGGCTTTATTGTAATAAACTGGTTATACATTTATGATTCAAAGTATTGTCCATCGCTGGCCACTACTTTTTCCCATCTTTCGGGCAGCATACGAATCCCGCGTCGAAAAAACTAATCATCTTTTGAGGCGATCCAATTTTTGACTTCTTCATAAGACCGGAAGTGCTGGTCAGCTAGGTCGTGTGCCATTGATCGAAACAAGTGATAGTCAGAGGGAGCAACGTCTGGAGAATACGGCGGGTGGGGTAGGACTTCCCATTTCAACGTTTCCAAATATGTCTTGACCACTTTCGCAACATGGGGTCGAGCATTGTCATGCTGCAAAATCACTTTATCGTGTCTCTCGTTGTATTGCGGCCGTTTGTCTTTCAATGCTCGGCTCAAACGCATCAATTGTGTTCGATACTGATCGCCTGTGATTGTTTCAGTCGGTTTTAAGCTCATAATATACTACGCCGAGCTGGTCTCACCAAATACAGAGCATGATCTTGGAGCCGTGAATATTCGGTTTGGTCGACGTGAAAGCATGGCCGGGAACTCCCCATGATTTTCTGCGCTTGGGATTATCGTAATGAACCCATTTTTCGTCCCCAGTTACAATGCGATGCAGAAAGCCCTTCCGTCTTTGCCTTTCAAGCAGCTGTTCACAAGCAAACAAACGTCGTTCAACATCTCTCAGCTTCAACTCGTACGGACTATCCTGGTCTTCACCGTTCTTGAAGTGTTGAAACCACTTATGACACGTTCTTTCACTAATAGCGGCTTCACCATAAATATTTGAAAACATTCGATGAGCCCCAGCATTTCTTCATATTGAAGCAGAAAATTAAAACCTCCCGCAAATGACAAGAATTTGGCTCGTAAACTGACATTTTCAATCGAGAATAACTTCATGATGCAGACACAAATCGACTAATGTTTCTATGGGATTATGTTGACAGATTCCCAAGTTTATTGTGTGACGTCTATGATCTATTTATTTCGATTACCACTTACCGCTAAAGCCATCTATACGAAAACCGAATGAGCAAAGTCATACACCTAATAGAATTATTGCGGGTGTCAAAAAATAAAGTGCCAACTTCACACACATTCTCGATAGTGCGTTGAATTCATCTTGAAGACCCTTATAATATTATAATATATTATAGAAAAAAATTATATATTAGGTGTAATAAAAAGAAATCCATTATTTTTCCAATAGATGGCTTTAGTAATCTGTATCACGCGTAGACGAGATATAGATTACTAAAGCCATCTATTGGAAAAATAATGGATTTCTTTTTACTACACCTAATATTCTATTTAAAAAATTTAAGATGATTTTGATTTTTTCATTAAAAATTTTTTTAACTTTTGACGTATGTGTTGTCTGCATGAAACAAATGAATATTCACCTTCCGACCTTTTCTTTTATTATAATTGTCGGAAATGTCTGACAATCGTGCAGACCATCACACTCTGTATAAATACATCTGCAATTATATAAATTTCAAATTGGAAAGAAAATTGAGAACTTCCGAATGAAACACTCTTCCAACTGAGATGAAACTTTACAGCTAATATTGTTACAGAGTGTCCCAGAATGACCACCAAATATTTCATACGCTGGTAGAATGGACTAAACTGAGAGTCAAAAAGTTCAAAAAGTTTTTTACCTTTATTTTGCAATTTTCGCTATAGTTAACAAGATATTAATTTTTAAAGATAACCGAATATTAGTTTTAAAATAATTTTTTACAAGTACTAGTCAACTTTATAGAAAAACAGCAAGAGACAAAAATTATTTACTTTCTTTTCATAGAACTCCAAGAATCTTTGCAGAATTTTTTATCAACTTTTTAGTACTGCATTTTCTTATATATTGGCAGCTATTTTTATTAACATGAGAAAATACAGTATTAACAAATTCTGAAAAAATTCTCAGAACTCTAAGAAGAAAATAAATAATTTATGTCTTGTTATTTATGTCTTGTTATTACTGTTTTTTGTAAAATTGATAGTATTTGAATAAAAAATTATTTAAAATCAATATTCAGCGATTTTTAGTAGTTAATATATCTTGTTAATTATTGCGAAAATTGCAAAATGGAAGAGAACTTTTTGATTCAGTTTAGGTTGCTTTACCAGCACACGAAATATTTGGCGGCATTCTGGGACACCCTTGGTTATTAATGACCCTGTAGTAATTATTTATAAAAATCCTATCTTCGGGTTTTCTATATTTTAAATAATAAAAAAATTAAAAGAAGAAATTTATAAAAATAATTCCATACATAAATACATTATAACACAGATATATTTAATAATTAATAATTAGACAACATCAGATATATTTAATAATTAAAACTAAACCTAACCTAGAACATTTATAAGGAATTTGACCAAGTCATGATTAATCCTATTAATGCCGACAAAAGATTTGAGGGCTATTATGCCGATTGGGAAGATCTTTCCGACGACTCTGATGTTGATATATGTTCAAGGTCATAACCACAAGTCAGAGATTTTAGCTATTGCTAGTTATCTGTTAAAAAATTATTAACAAAGAACGTTAAGAAATAATATCTTTCTGTTATATGCAATATTAGGGACTACTTAATAGTCTTTCTACTGTTGAATAGTCTTATCTACTCTTCAACCTCCCTTCTTACATAAGGGAGTTAAACTTTCCACGCGAAGTGAGGCCTACCCCACCTCTCCTTCTGCCAAGGAGCGTTCGATTTTCCATGCGAAGTGAGGTCCACACCATCCCCTGCTCTACCTAGAGAAGATTCTAGGCAGAGAGAAAGTAGATGAACCTCGCTTTGTGTGGAAGTCCAAGGCTCTTATGCAGGGAAGTGTGGAGTAATTCTTAATATTGTAAATAGTAGAAATAAGACATTATTTCTTAAACTTTTTTTGTTAATAACTTTCAACAAATGACGAGCGACAACTAAACTTTCTTGGAGGTCACTGACTTCGACAACATATGTCAAGGTGAAAGTAATCGGAAAGGTCATCTCCACATTTGGCACACCGTCATAATTTTTAAAATTATTTTTTACCTTTTAAACTATAGAAAACTCAAAGATGGAATCCTCATAAATAATCACTATATATTGTAAAACAATATTATCTGTAAAGTTTCAATTCATTCAGGTATTTCATTCGGAAGAATATCCGAAAATTGTATTTCGATGCTTATTATTTTGTAGATTTAGATTTTTTAGTAATGGAAGAATAATTACAATACTGTGCGTTTAATAACAATTTTGGTATACTCACATTTAACACTAGTTACGTCGATAGCACGATCGGTATCTTTAACTGGTAGTTCGTGTGGACTAGGCTCTAATTGATTTTTACTTGCCGCAGATATCCTATTTCCGTCTTGTCCGATTGCGCTAACACCACTCCGGCCATTCGTGATGATTGCTGATCCAGATCTTCTTACCGTTGTACCAGGTAGACTTAAACTAATCAAATAAATACTGTATATAAATAATTTATACTTATTATTGTAATTTAAATAAATATCTGCTTTAATATATACATTCTCTGACGAGCTTGATTTTAACATACATTTTCAAGATTATTTTATTAAATACTATTGTGCAAGTTTTAATTATAGTTCACTGTTTTGGTTTAAAAACTTTAATCCAACCAATTCTCTCATTGATTACATTATCATTGCTTAATTCAAGAAAAATAGTATTACTTCGACACATTATACATATATGTATATGTATGTATATTTTTTAATATATACCGTATTATTATATGCTCGTTTTCTATATAAAGCAAGCTTCAATATTTACTATTTCTTTTCTAGTACAAATGAAAATAGCAGTACATTTGAAAATAAATGGGTGCTATCAATTTGGTAATACAAGTCGACGCAATTGTTCTATTTTTGATACTCTCTGTCATGAAAGATAGAATGTTTGTGTCTACTCATCAAATGGAAAGTACCTAATGCTAATTTCCGTTTTGTAGTATGATAGACTCATAATTTAATAAGACAAAAAATTTTGTGATATAATTTTTAGAGCTCTATGAGAAGAAAATAAACAATTTTTGTATTAAGGAAACATGGACTTCCGGTTAGGAATAGAGAGCGTGGTGACGTATGTATGTTGACAGAGGGAATAGTAACAGAAAATAGTGAAAAACAGAAAGAGAAAGAAAAAATAATAAGTGGATCAGAAAGTAAGAAGGTGAGAAAAGGTCGGGAAAAGAAGGCGAGTATAGAAAAGAAGAATCTGAAGGAATAAAATCTGAGCAGATTCGGGAAAGCCGCTAGGTTAGGCGGAAAATAGAGCAATCTGGAGGAGGAAGAGCGAAGAGTCCACGGCAGCAGCCGTCACATGGCACCAATGGTAGGAAGACCGACAGGCAGTAAAAACAAACCTAAGGAAAAAAACATGCAGAGATATATGACAGGAAAAGAGGAACCTATGATAAAGGAGAGGAACCTATGATAAAGGAGATGGAGGAAAATATTTGCAAACGGATGGAAAAGATGAATGAAAACATGATGGGACAAATCGAACAAATGAGAAAGGAATGGAAAGAAGGAAAGCTGGAGATGGAGGAAAGAAAAAGAAAAGATAAAGAAGAACACAACATAGAAAGAAGAAAACTGGAAAGAAGAATAGAAAAACTAGAATGGGAGAGCGAAAAGAAGGATAGAGGAAGACGGAGAAACAACATAGTAATCAGAGGCATAAACAAATGGGGCGGAAACAAGATGGAACAGCAGGTTGTAGAATTCGTCAAAGAAAATTGAGGGTAGAGGTGAAAGTAAAAAAGGCGTATAAGATGCAGGACAGAGAAAATAAATGTACCATAATAGCTGAATTAGAGAGCTGGGAAGAAAAAAGAGATATGACAAGAAAGAAAGAGTTAAGTGCAGGGATATTTATAGATAATGATTTAATAAGAAAAGAGAGAGAAATGCAAAAGCAATTGAAGGAAAAAGCTAAAGAGGAGAAAGAGAAAGGAAACAATGTGAAGCTAAGCTATAGTAAGATTTTTGTGAAAGATAAGTGGTTACGCTGGAATGAGAGAGAGAGAAAAATAGAAGAAGACAGAGGAGGAAGAAGAGAATGAGAAAAGGAAAAGGATGGCGAGGAAGAGGCAAAAAGAAGATTAAGAATTTGTTTTTGGAATACTCTAATAAATGTGAAGAAATGTGAGAATATCTGGAAGAATTTGACATCGTGAGATTAGTGGAGACATGGATAGACGAAGAAAATTGGTGGGAGAAAATTAAAAATAGATTGCCGAAAGACTATAAGTGGAAATATTATATGTGCCGGCAAAGAAGGAACATAAAAAAGGAAGAGCAAAAGGTGGGATAATCACTACAGTGAGCAAGAAAGTAAAGAATATAGAAATTAGGGAAATAAGCGAAGCAGCAATGTGAAATGGTCTATAATGAAAATAAATGGAGAATAATAACAATGTATAGTCAAGAGGTAGAAAAAACAATGGGAAGGTTGATGGAACATATTCAAGAAGAGGAAGAGTATTTAATAATAGGAGGAGATTTGAATGCAAGGACAGGTAGTGAAGGAGGACCGGTAATAGAGGAAGAAAATGAAAAGAGAAACAAGAGCAGGAAATCAATAGATAAAATAATAAACAAAGAGGGCCGTAGACTAATAGGAAGGATAGAAGAGAGAGGATGGGCGATAATGAATGGAAGTTTCGAAGAAGAGAGAGGATGGACTTATATAGGGAGAGAGGATTTTCGGTCATAGACACTATGTGATAGGAAATGATGGAGCATGCGAAGAAATCAAAAGGGTAAAAGAAGGCAACAGAATAGAGTCAGATCACATCCCATTAGAGGTAGAGCTGCGGGAATCGCAAATAATGGAGAAAAAAAGATAGGAAAGAGACGAAAGTGGAAATAAAGAGAAGTGACTGGACGGAAGAGGGGATAAAAAGCTGTCAAGAGAAGAGTAAAGAATGAAGGAGCACGTGGGAGGACGTGGAGCATTTGGATGGAGATAAAAGAAAAGATTAAAAGTGCGATCAAGAAAGATAAAAAGAAAATACTCCTATGGAAATTAGGAAAGAAAGATTGATATAATAAAGAATGGAAAAGTATGAAAAAAAAGTTAAGAAAAGAACTGAGAAAACTGAAGAAAGGAAGAATTAGCAGAGGAGATTATGTGATAAAAAGGAAGAATTGGTGTAAAGCACAGAAGAAGCATGAGCAGAAGAAGAAAAGATAAAAAATATAAGTGAGAAAGAGGCATGGAAATATATAAACAAGTACAGGAAAAAGAAATCAGAGGGGCCAAGCAAGGATATACAGATGGACAGCTGGAGAGATCATTTTATGGAGCTGCTAGGGGGCACGCGGGAGAAAACGACTCTGAATAAGTAAGGAAAGTGAGGAAAGCGAAGAAGAAAAGACAGGAAGAAAAGAAGTAGAAGAAATTGCAAAAGAAAAGTTAATAGAGGTGTTGAGAAAATTAAAAAAAGCAAAGACTCCGGGAGAAGACGAGATAAAGAATGAGTCATGGAGGTTTATATCCAAAGAAATCGGAGAAGAATTCTGGAAAATGATTAACAGAGTATGGAAAAGGGAAGGAATACCATTAGAACCATTGGAATACTATTGGAATACCATTGGAACAAAGGCTTAATCTGTCCTATCTACAAAAGGGGAGATAAAGAAGAAATTAAAAACTATAGAGGAATTACATTAATGGACACAGAGATGGAGACATATAAGATTTACGCGACTATCCTAAACAGAAGACTTGAAAAAGAAGCGGAGGAAAAACTAAAGAAAGGACAGTATGGATTCAGAAAAGGAAGAAGAACGATGGATGCAGTCTACATAGTAAATCACGTAGTTAACAGGGAATTGAGCAAAAAAAGGAGGAAAGATGTTTGCCTTTTTCGCGGAAAGTTGCATTCGATAATGTGGATAGGAAGCTAAATGAAATGATGAGAAAGATGCAGATAGAGAACAACCTCAGACTCCAAGTTATGGAGACGTATAAAAAAACAAGGAATATAGTGAAAGTAGGTAATAGGAAGTCGAAGGAGTTTTGGACTGAAAAAGGCCTCAGACAAGGATGTCCGCTAAGCCCGACATTTGTTTAATATATATGTCAGACTTGGAGGAAGAGATGGCAAAAGGCCAGACAGGAGGAGTAATAATAGGAAAAGAGAAATGCTGGACAATAATGTATGCAGATGATGTGATTCTACTGGCAGATAAAGAAGCTGATATGAGAGAGATGCTGAAGAGATTTGAGAGGTTTATACAAAAAAAAAGGACTGAATTTGAGCCCGGAGAAGTCAAAAATAATAGTATTTGAGTAAGGAAGAGGTAGGACAAAAAAGAGAGAGTGGAAATGGAGAGAAGAGGAAATAGAAGAAGTTAAAGAAATCAAATATCTAGGGAAAAACGGAGGAACTGAGAAACATATAAAAGAAAGGATAAAGAAAGCAACAGTGGCAATGAAGAGAACATGGAGAAAAAATATTCAAAGACAACTTCGAAAGGAGAATGAAGATATTCAACTCTTTGGTGGAGTATAGCCTTGTATGGAGCGGATGTGTGGGGCTGGCAGGACGACAATAGACTAGACGGAATAAAAAGGAAGTACATGAAATAGATTCTAAAACTGGATTGGAGAACACCTAATTATATACTGGTAGAAGAAACAAAAAAATGAAATCAAAATTAAAGCAATCAAAAGAGCAGTAAAGTACGAGAAAAGAATAGGGAACTCGAGGAAAAAGTTAATAAAAGAATGTATAAAGGAGTTGGAAAAGGACAGCAAAGGAAAAAAAGGTGACTAGGAAAAGAAGAGACGAGAAGTGCTGGAAAGATCAGGAATCAGTAAGGAACAAATAAGAAGAGTAAGAGAGGCAGGAGATCAAGGTATAACAGAAGATCTCATGAAGAGACTAGAAAGAAGAGGGAAAGAAGAAAGACAAATAAAGATAAATGAGTCAAGGTATAATAGCAATTATAAAAATATACGGTTAGAAAAGTTACCAAAATACTTGGAAGGTAAAAAGAGGAAAGAAGTTTAATAACAAGATTCAGATGTGAGAACGAGACAAAAGGAGGCCAGTATTGGAGAGAGGATGTAGAAAAGAGATGTAGAATCTGCTATGCTGCAGAAGAGAGTATGAGCCATATATTCAAGGAATGCAAGGAGACAAAGAATTAAATGCTGATGGAAGAATTTATAGGGGTAGAAGGTAAAGGGATAGAGATAATGAAGAGGATAAATAAGGCAAGAAAAGAAGCAGAAGAGGGGGAAAAGAAACAAGAGTGAGGACTTATCACAGATTGTTACACCAAGTAGATTAGAAAGCAAAGTTGTATATAAGTATAATTTTAAGGACAGTTCCAAGCAATCATAAAGTACCAAAGTGATAAATAGTTATGTGTAGGCACGCTATATGTAGGAAAGTTTATAATGTGTGATACACACTGTTTTGTTTTTGAATGAATAGCTTTTATATGTATCTCAAGTATTTCACTGTTTTGTTTTTGAATGAATAGCATTTATGTGTATTAGGTGTACAAATAAGTTTCCGTCGTTTGACAAAAGACGGCGCGACTAGCAAGCTATGGTTAAAATTGTCTGATGTAAAACATTATATCGTAAGGTTGGACATCTGTCAACAACATAATCTTGAAATACTAGCAATTTTGTATCAGCATCATATATTTTTTTTTGTGCGAAAATGCTGAGTTTTGAGCCGAATAAGTGTCATTTGCGGGAACTTTTGATTTACTTCTTTAATTTGAAGAAATCTGCAGCTGAGGCTCATCGATTGCTTGTAGAAGCATATGGTGAGGCTGCCTTAAGTGAGAGAAGTTGTCGTGAGTTTCAAAAATTTAAGAACGGTGAATTTGACATCGAAGACAAAAAACGTAGCGGAAGGCCGAAAGTGTACGAAGACGCGGAAGTGGAAGCATTATTGAATGAAGATTCCAAATGTGCCAAACGCAAAAAGTAGTGGCTAGCGATGGACAATACTTTCAATAAAACATTATGTATCGTTCTTTCACAATAAATGTTTAATTTTTGATTAAAAACGGCGGAAACTTATTTGTATACCTAATATTTCAAATATTTCAAATGTTTATAAGAATTTATACGTATATATATAGAGCGAGAATAGAGCTGTGTATGAGGAAGATATGAAGAATAGATACTGAAGAAAGATAGGGGATGTTATTAAATTAAGAACAAATGTAAATAAATGTATACTGGAAGCCATCCTAAGCCGCAAGGCAAGGATTAAAATTAATAAATAAATAAAATAATAACTAAGGGAACATATATATTATCAACTCATTGAATTGTATACATTGAAAAGAATCTCAAGCGGGGATCGAAACATTTGTCTAATCATTGTCAAATCGAATAAAATAATATTATATACATCAAAATCTTGTGTCTGGCTCTCAAGACAATTTTATGCAATTTTTACTTCACTTGAGCCTTGATTCTTATTAATTTGTTCAATTTTTGTCATTTGTTTTTCTGTAAAGTTAATAGTATTTGAGTAAAAAATTAATGGAAATCAATATTCGGCGATTTTTAGTAATTAATATCTTGTTAGCTATTGCGGAAATTGCAAAATAGTAAAGGACTTTTTGACTCGGTCTAGAAATCCTTTAATCAGAATCGCGAGACGATTTGAATCAACTTTTGTATGCAGGATAATAGTTTTGACAAACTCGATAACAAAGAGAGAAATATATTAGTATCTCTGTCTAACGCGGCATTAAAAGATTACCTTTTTTGACAAATTGTGTACATATATGCGTGTGAATGCTGTAGTATGTAAAATACTAGTACTAAGTAGACGTCTTATAGTACGTATGTATTGTAAATTAAATTAGTAAAACAATATAGTAATTCCACCGGAGTTCAGCCATCATGTTTGACCAACACCTCCTTAAAAGTTAATTAAGGCCATAGTCCGATTCACGTTTAGAATATTTAAAAATAATTTTATCTTTGTTATTTATTTATAAATGTTAAACAAGGATAAATAATGCTGAGTATTGTGAGTAGTGTGACTCAGATCGTGGCTTAAAAAAGCTATCAAAGTATCCGATTTTTACCTAGCAGAGGAATGATCAATACTGATACTTCTAGGTCTTGGTGGTAGTGCCGGTTTTCCTCCATTTCCATTCGATGAAGTATCCTCTGAACTCGAATCTTCTTGATTTCCTGCTTGACTTAGATTAACTGTAAAAGAAATGTATATAAGTAAACAGCAATATTCGTTAATATTGATTGCTGATATAAAGTGAAAATTTAAATACCAATTGAGAAAGCTCCTTGCATTCCTCGTCTTCTCAAAATTGACGAAATATTGTTACCAGAAGAAGTCAATTTATTTTGATGATTGATTTTATTTTGAGAACTAATCGTTGGTCTCATCAAACCACTTGTTCTGCTGTTGGAGGAGTGACCGCCCCAGCCTCTACTCCCCCCTGTTATACCAGCGTCTGATTCAGAGTCACTCTATAAATGACATTGATTTTTTATTTAAAGTGCGCGCGTGCGCGTGTGTATGCGTGTGTACGTGTACTTGTACGTGTACGTGTGCGTTATGTATGATTTTCAATGTTCTTATTGTTCATATACATCGCAAAACATACTTGGTTTAAAACACCAACACTGCTGCTTCTCGTTATGTGAGTTGAATGATTTTTTCCTGACATATATCTGAATTGGTTGCTAGGATTAGCACTTCCCAATTTCGCTGCTGCGCTTATATTTTTATTTCCTAATTTTCCTGAAACTATTAATTGTTATTAATTCGAGAAAGAAATTACATAGATACACTGTTAGATAAATGTTCTTAAATTCTATTAACTTTTAAGTTACACAATTTGAACCTAATTTCATGATATTATATTAAATTTAATGTATTTAATGTATTTATACTAAAAAGCATATTTGTGTACATGTACATAAAATTTAATGTACTTTTCATAAAATTTCATACGTTCATTACATTTAAGTAATTATTGTAACTTAATTTTCAGTTAAATTCATTACTTTTAATTTCATTCATAACCATAAGCTTCATTTATATGTAAAGGAAGCTCGTGATTATATTTCTAACAATGTATTGTCATATTTTTAATATGCAAAAGACAAATATAATTATAAGATAACTAACAAAAATTTTTTTTATGAAAATGACATTGAATATGAGAACATATTATCCAAACAGAATGATAAGATACCTTGTAAAGGGCCATGCAATAACCTATTTGAAGGACTGATGGAAAGATCACTCAACGAACAGGCACGTCTCATGCCACTTTCTTCTTCGTTGTCAATAATTTTTAACGAGATTCGCCCCTCACTACTGCCAACTGTTGACAACGCGCACACACATGCACTAATCGCTACTATTAAATTTGCATAATCGATTTCTTTTCTTTAAATATTTATTAAGGAAATCTTTATTTTTAAAAAGATAAATAAATTACAATATAAGAGAGAAGCACTATTTAATAAGAAAAAAATATGTACACAATGTAAAAATAAATTAATTTATTATAATAAATATGTAGAAACACACACGCACGCATGCACGCGCGCGCGCGTGTGTATGTGTGTAGAATATATTCAATAATTTTTTCTTTATATGTACAAGAAGATAAAGTTCAAAATAAGTTTAATTTTACAAATTTTTTCTACAATTAATATCACCGGTATTTGACATGAAACTTCTTGCACAAAAAATATAGCGCAACATTACAATAGAGCAGAATAACGACGAAAAGGAAAGGATAATGTTGTAACTTAATGAGAAAAACAATGTGCAGTTCCATGCAAAATGAAAATAATATAAATATTAATAAAGTCGTCGCATGACTTGGAAAGCATTCAAACTGAAAAGTAAGATGCTGTCGCTTTGAAATAAAATTAAACGCGATTGTTCATAAGCAATGAATAAGTGAATAACTATGGTATTTCGTCAAGACACAATTCACTTTCGTATTTAATTACAAAGGTACTTCAAAAAGAAAGAGAAAATTTTTGAAAAAAAAGTATAAATATTAAAATACAAGAAAAAGTTACAGTGGGAATAAAAAAATAAGTAGTCATGGCAAAAACGGTAACTGTACGGAGTTAATTTCAATTTCGTACTACTTCTGAACGCATTATTTGGAAATCATTTTGATGAAATATCTCTCTATAGTTTAATATAAATAAAATTCAAAATATAAAAAAAGATACTTTGTTTTAAAATTGTAATAAATATTAGTTAAAAATTGATATTTTCAGAAAAAAGTCACTATTATTTCTATTTTTCAGTTTGGATTATGAAAGTTTAAAAAAATGTTGGTATATACAAGGTGTAATTAAAATAAGGTCACAAACTTTAAGACCAAGCTCCTTAAATCAAAACACGAAAAAAATTCATATAAATATATGTCCACAAACTCACTGTTACTAAGATACAACTCAAAATGTTTATTAATAAGGAGAAATAAAAAATTAATATTTATTATTATTTAATATTATTTACTTTCAATTTATCATTCAAATAAATGTTCAAAGTGTCTTTCATTTAATTCAATACACATCCAACTGGCTCTTTCAAAAATCTCGGGACAATTGTGAATGGTGCATAAGCATTAAAGATGATAGCATAAGATTAACATAGCATATCTTCATTTGATACTAGAACTTTATAAACTAAGGACTTTAATATCCATTTTCACCAACGTAGATTAACTTTAATTTCGGTTCAACTTTTCATCTTTTTCTAATGTTTAGAAAAAAATGAAAAGTAAGTTAAATCGAGATTAAAACTAATCTACATTGGTGAAAACGGGCATAAGTGTCCACAGATAAAAATCTACAGGATAGATCGGAAAATCATAGAGGCCATGCAACTGGCCCTGCAAATATTTTGAGTTATATCTCAGTAACAGTAGATTTACAGACATATGTTCATATGAACTTTTTTTCAGTTTTGATAGAGAACTCAAGCGAAGTTTGTTACCTTACTTTAGTTACATCCATATATATTTTTTATTTAACACTGCTATCGATTCATAATCTAACAGTAATTATATTATCAATATCTATATTAATGATATTATCATGAAATGCTAAGTCTTAATCTTAAAATTTCTCATTGTATCATAAGTTTCTATCTTTTTAATAATCTTGTGCCTTCAAATCATTTGCAATCTCTGCCAATAGCGGATAGATTTTCCGGCTTTACGGGAAGTCACGATAGTAATCTGAACAACCTCAGAAACTTTGATTATCTTTGACATTTCTTAATAATATAATTGTTATGTTAGATTAGGAATTGCTAGCAATAGTCAAATAAAATATAGGTAAAACTGCAAAAAAAAGGGAGCAACTTCCGATAATCTTGACATATGTTGTCAAAGTCATAACTCTGAGTGACCTTAAAAAAGTTGACTATAAATTTCACATTCAATTTGACCGTACAAGACATACAAACTTCCTCCTGTCTATAATTAATATACTTTTTTCGAAAATTTCTTTTACTTTTTGAACTATTTTTGAACTATATATATATATACAGGTATTATATAATTATGTTTACAATAAAATGAGATGTATAAATAGAAAAAGTATTTCTTCTATAAACTGTTTAATGCGTAAATTTCTATTTAATTTTGGGAAACTGACACGTAAAATTTAACAACACGTAGAATATATGCAAGCATTTTCTACTAGTTTGATACCTGCATAAGGATGCTTCGTGGAAAGTATCGTTTGATCGATCGTCGGTAGAGTTTTCGTCCACTTTGCGTGACTCGAACATCGCGACGCAGGCGGCCACATTCTCTTAGGCGAATTAGTGCAACTTGAGGCGGATGTGGAAGAGCCACTTTCCATTAGCGATCTATCCATCGCTGACACATCAGCGCAATCACTGTCTTCGCCACACGAATGTAGCCGTACATTATTGCGTTTGATTGTGTAAAATCTACCATCCCGCTCGGCCTCTAATTTAGCAAAGTTTTTGCTCGTCTCCTGACCGTGCGTCAATTGCAAATATTTCTCCTTCGTCAAGTATTGCTTTTGCCTCATTAGATTCTCAAATTCTTTCGAAAGTAATTTCACAGTTCCCTCAATTGCACGAGTTATCTTAAAATTCACACTCGCATCAAGATTGTTGATATGTTCATTGGTAGATTGCAAATTCGAACTATCGAACGATAGCTCCTCTCTTTGCAGATCGCAGGAGACTTCATTGGGCTCTAGTGAGTCGTAAGTTTCATATATATTTTTTGTTGGAACATTTTCAAATAAATTTATTTGTTCTTTATCATAAGATGTACACAGTTCCTTCCTCGATTCATGAATCTTCTTTATGTGATGATTTTTTGTTAAACATGAGGAGTCGTTCCTGACATATATCTGTTCATCCTGCGAAATATCATTTTTATCGGTACAAGTCTGTAGACTGTAAAATTCATTTCCGCTCTTTTTATTATTGTCAGATTGTAACGTACAGTTCGCGGAATGCAAAAATTGTTGCATTACTTTCGAATCGATTGAATCTTGCTTAATTTTCATATCGTCCTGCGTAATATCATATGTGGAACTCATGGAAGATGCCATGTAATTGTCGGAATCGCTTTTTAAAGCAGGTGATGAGGGCGGAGTGTCAATATATTTCCAAGTTGGTCTAGCTCTATTACGCATACTTTGAGTACGAGATGAATTTCTCTTAGGTTTTGGTGGTTTGTGTGCAACAAAATCATTCAAGATCATCATCGATTCTAGTTTTGTAGGCACTTTCAGACTATTGCTATGCGAAATAGTTTCTGAACCACTGCAAATTGTCGTATCCACATTATTCTTGTGTTCATTGTCAAAATTAAATTCACAGTAAACGTGAGTTTTCAATGATGCATTATCTTCTGCAAAATTCATATTATTCTTCGCTTTGTTGACTCTAGTATCCTGCAAAGATTTCGATCTAAACACCGTTCTATACAATGTGTTCTTGTTAGGAGAGCTTTGTGCATTATCCGTAATGGTCTCTACAATATTATTAGGATTTCCATTGTAGGTTTCGGAATTTTGTCTTTTTCGCTTGTAATGTGAGTCAAACAACATTTCCAGGGGTGCAGATTTCACTAAGGAATCCGAGTCATCGGTTAACACGCTTTCTGTACTTTGATGATCAGCGTTCTCGCGTAACGGAAACATCTGATAGTCCGACTCGTCAGTTAATATGCTCTCTTGACTTCTGCCTTCCTGCATTTTACGCCGAGACAAAAAGAAACTCGCACTTGAGTGTCTATCATAATCATAATGATTATAATCTAAGATTTCAGCACTTCCTTTAGAGAATGACTCAACAGAGGCATTCGAAAGTATGCTTTCTTGAGAGCCAGTTAAAATTTTTTTCTGAATATTCTCATAATTCGAATAACTTCTACAGTCATTCATATGAACATTTATCTGATAATCACTGACGCAACGTCGAGGTGGATTCTTAAAATCTCCTTCCAATGAATCGTCACTGAAATTGCCACTTCCCTCATCAGCATTATCAATGATTTCCTTGAAATTCTCTATATTACGTTCATTCATAGCAGGTAAGCTTTCGAAAGATTTTGCAACACTCTCGATATCCTTCTCATGATCATTCAGACCGATAAAATAACTACAAGATCCTCTCTTATGAGCAAATCTTGCAAATCGATTTATGTTTTTCTTACACTGTTCTTTCAATAATTTTGATTCCTCACATACAGGAGACTCGGGCAAAGATTGATTAGCTTTATTCAAGGACAGTTTATACTTTTCAGTTTTTTTTAATATCAACGTTAATGGACGGTTAAGAGTTGTTTTTGCTTTCTCATTGATGCACAACATAGTTGGACTTTTCGACAAGCGGTTTTCATTTGGTATCTCTAGCTTAGGTAATGCATTCCCCATACCTTGAACTTTGTTAATGGATTGCTGGGATTTAAACGTGGGCTTTGGATTTAACATAGGTTTACAAGGATTAATCGGTTTTGCAAATTGGTTTTGCTGACCGGATTTGTTACCTGTGCTGAGCCTATTTGAACGACGATGCTTTTCCTGTACATGACTGCTTAAATCGGATATGCTTTGGCTGGATTTCAGTAACGATCTATAACCAACCTACAAAAGAATTAAACTTTATTACGAAAAACAATATTAAATGAAAATCAACCAAGAAATGTTTAAATACGAATGTTATCCAGAAAGTAAGTTTCGGTGGCCTATTAAAAGAAAATAAGTATACTTACAAAAAATTTTTATTGTTTTTTAAAGTACACACCTTACACTATTTTTGTACATAATTGCCGTCATTGTTGATGCACTTATTATAACGAGGCACTAGACATTGTATCCCTTTGTTATAGAAAATTGCCGCCTGAAGCAAACCATGTGGTGACAGCTTCTTTGACATCGTTGTCATCAATGAAATCGTCGGCCAGCAAGGAAAAATTAATTTTCTTTTTAACTGTAGGCATCAAATCGTCATTAACCAGAGACAATCGCTCGCTCCGTTCATCATCGCGCACATTTTCGTGTCCTTCATTGAAAAGTCGCATTCATCTCCGTACCATTGAATCACTCATTGCACGTTCTCCATATATTTCACAAATATGACGGTGAATTTCAGCCACATTAATGTACCTCGCATTTAAGAAACAGATCACAGATCGTATTTTACAAGCGGTGGGCACGATTTGTTTAAACACACACACTAAAATACGTTTGTATTGAACCAATAATTGAAAGATGCGTTAATCCCTTGTCAACGAACTCGGCACGCATATGTATTATCGCGACTGCATCGCTGCGGCGGCAAAATTTAAAACGGAACTTACTTTCTGGACACTCCTCGTAGAAATAAAAGAAGAATACCATTTTCGAAGCAAGTTTTGGTACTTAATATTTATATGTGAATATACAAATATAATTATCAGTTCTAAAGATTGTGCACTGATTCGGTTTGTCTGACACGAAATATAATCATGAAATAATTTGACTAAATTGATCGTCAATTATTAATCATAATGCTACTAGCACTACTTAAACATTTATTGCGAAAATATCACTTCAGTCAGAATTTAATGGGATTTCGCACAAATAGAATTTCTATAAAAGTGATATTGTATTTGTATTATATATTCACTTATAAATGTTACTAAGCATCAAATCAGCTATGACAAAAAATGGTATTCTTCTCTTATGTTACAAAAATTCTTGAAAAACATTTTGCTTTTCTCATGCAAAACTTACACTTTGTAATTTTCTTCTGGTTTCTTCTATCCTTCTCTGCAACTCCTCCCGTTTCTTCATAACATCATCGTCACCTTTTGTATGTTTTGTTACGTTAACCACTGCTGCATTACGTATTTTGGTAATGGTATTATTTTCACCACTACTAAATCTATAACAAATCAAATTAATCAGTAATTAACAATTGTTAAATTAATGATTTATCATAATATTTCAACTCATCAAAATTATTTTACCTTCCATGAAACTGAGAACTAATACTTGTTGCTTTTACACGATTTGGTGGCTCCTCTGCACCACTAAGCGATTCGAAGGCATTTTTCAGATATTTTTCTCTATGATTTTGTTTAGCAAGCTGATCAAAACCCTCCGAGCTAGCTTCGGATAACATAGATAACGGATTTCTCTCGGCGCTAGGAGTCGATGCTCCGCCTTCTGAATCAGATTCGTCCTGACTGCCAGATGCAGTCATTTCGCTCGTCCGACCATTCTCTGTGTTTTTCAATTTTCTTTGACGCCTTTGTGATCTGCATATAAGATATATTTTGCATCTATTCAATGAAAGACTTACGATCAAAAGGAAATAAATATATTGAATCAAGAATAAACCTTCGGAGCTCTTCAACATCCATCGCATTAACAGTAAATTGATTTGACACAATATCTTCTGGTGGGGGATAATACATTAATCTATGATGTGACTTTTCAGAACCAGTCGTTCCGTTTTCTCCTTCGGAATAATCTTCAACATCCCCATCATGTTCAGTGCTTTCATGATCCTGAATGACATTTTTAGATAAAAGATACAGCGGAGCATTATTTATTAATAACATAATTAACAATTAAATTAAAAATATAACAATTAAATTAAAAATATACATAACACATAAGCATATGAATAAAACATCAAATGTCGATTGAAAATATAATATCAGCAGAAATTACTTACAATTACTTGCAACATATGATACATTTTGTCATATTTGGAAAAAGTAATTTCATAAAATATTTCCTAAATAGGCTATTTTCAGACAATTATTTTTTGAAAACATTTCGCATTTTTAGAAGAATTTACCTCAAATTTAAAGCTGCCAAGACTGCTATCGTCAGTGTGATGACGACTCCTCGATTGACGTGTCAATTCCGTAATATTATTACTTCTTATTGTCACCTTATCGCCAATTACCTATAGCAGTAATTGAAATAAAATGTAATCAATAAAACAAATATGATAGCAAATTGATAATGTAAATTGCCAAAAAAGGATGATTAAAAAAACAAGATCAAAGCAAAATGATCGATGAACAAAAGTAAATCTGTTATATTAAAAAAACAATAATATATTAGGTGTTGGAATTAATTCGTAGCGTTTTTAATGAAAGAATGTTATTTATTTCACATGAGCATTAAAAAATACATTAATGAAAGTACTTCCCAATAATACTCATATAACTTTGTTAGTACCTGCTTCGTTTCATTTTCTATCTCTGTATAACTTTTAGGGCATGATTGAAATACATTCTCTTCTTCCTAAAATCACAATTAAATGTTAATATCCTGTTCTTAGATTGTAAAAAACAGCAATACATTAAAAGAATATGATAATATTAGTCAATGATTAATTATCATTAAAAAATAATTAAATATTCATGTGTTTAAAAGAGAGAATGTGTTTAAAAGAGAGAACTTGAAAGTAACCAAAATATCAATTTGTTTTTTAATGAAAAAAAGTACATTATTTATTGTACGTATTCTTGTATTTGAATTATGCCAAATGATTTTCGATTATATCTAAAAAAACAGATAGAACTTATAGATTTCTTACCATTTGAATATCTAGAAGCATCAGAAAATTAAATTTTTTTAAAATTTCTATTCAATTTCTATTCAATTTCTTACCTCCAATAGAAGCAACATTCTCCATTTGTTATTTTGAAATTACAAAGAAAAAAAGGCTTGCATAACTCAAAATGTGCAGGGAAATATTTTTTTTTAAACAAAATAAATTGATATGCGTGTGTATTTTGGTTATTTTCAAGTTCATCAAAAGATGTGAGGCTATGCTGCCTTGTAAAATCATGTGTTTTTTTACTTTTATGTAATTTTTCATCGAAAAGTAAAAAAAATCGAATTAATTTTTATAATTGAAGTACTTGCTGCAACAGTAGATAAACCCACACATTTGTAAACACATGGAGTAAATGAATTCTAAAATTAAAATGATAGGAAAAATCCTATTATCACTTGTTCGACTACGTTATAGCTAATCTACAATGTAACCTATAATTGATATTTTTTCTCCATCACTTTAACTTTGGAGATCTCCATTTTTACAAAATGTAGATCAACTCACAGCAATAAGCTCTTTAATTGTTATCTTAATCTCTTCAGAAATAATGAACTATGTCCAAGCAAAGTGTTAACAGAATGTCAATAAATTGGCAGCAGATTTAATCAGAAATGTGAGCAGAGACTGATAGCACAGCATTCTGCTTCTATTCTGTTCATAATCAGAGAGCAAATTAGTGACATAAATCGAGCACGCACAGGACAATTTGACAACAGAATGGTAACAAAGACCAAACAGGAATTGCAAATTCGGTCCCTGCCGTCAATCTGCTTGCATAGCGTGTCAGCAAGCTTAGTCACATTTCTGACGTCATCGTTAGATATTTCAGACTGTGTGAAATTTATTGCGTTCCTGCTATCAAAAATTGATAGCATTAGTAATCTGCTCAAAATCTGTCTTTACGAACTTGGGTGATTGTATATTATTTAATTTAAAAAAATTATAACTTCATAAAAGTTATGAGCAATTAAAGTTACAAAAGAAACTCATTTTTATCAAATTTGAATTAACATTACAAAAAAAACTTATTCAGAAAAAAAGTACCGATCAAAATGTAATCAATCATATAAAAAAAAATTAAAAAAATAATTCAATTCGAATAAAAGGAACATTAAGATATCTGGCCTTATAATTTCATAGCTGCATTCTCTTTCTTAATTTGCAATCTATTTATCGCAAGTTATTTATCACAAAGGATTCCTAAAGATTCTCTTCTACCAACCGTTTTACTAATTAACGTTTCTCGACGATAATCGCTGCTACATTTCGTTTCTGTGCCGCTATCAATGGAGCTGTCCTTCGAGCCACCACCATCACCACCATCCGAGTCAATGGCACTGCGCGACGGAGGAAATGGTATAACTTCATCACTGTCATAGACGGACTTTACAGTGATACCGTCGCCTTGTTGAACTCTTTGCGCCCATCGTCCCTTCGGCAGATCAACACCGAGAGATCTGACACTTGAGCTCAGTGTTGCACTATCATCAATACTCGCGGTATTCATTTGTTTCTTCGCCCATAATGGCAGCTGACCAACACTAAATCTATAATCTACACTCTGGAGCGTCGGATTCGCATTGGGATCGAGAAAGTCCGATGGAGGCGAACCGAAGATTTCATTATCTAATCGCACGTCGATTCCACCACCGTTAACTTGGAGCGGTCTTCTATGAATATATTTGGAAAAAGTATAATTATTTTAAAATCATAATTAGTACATAATAGTAATTAAGATTTATAAACAGAGAAGAAGAAACTACTTACTTGCCAGCGCGCATTGCTTGCTGGGCTAGACGAGCCTGCATAGTCACGACCATATCGTGTGGAACACGCCATACGAATACACAGCCGTCGCCGCTTGCAGACACAAGATGACGACAATCTGGACTGAAGCGTAAACCTGTTACTAATTCTGAGTGACCAACCATAGTAGCCATACATTCACCGCTATAATAATCGTACACACATAACGTTTTGTCTGTACATGAGGTAGCTACATAAATACCGGACGCATCTGAAAACACATCAAACTTTGATTAGGTCATTTAAGAAATTTATAACAAAAATCCCTGCTCTAATTCCTAATAAAGCTGACTTTTCATATGCAGCACGTTGCAGCAACAAAATGTCGTATGTGATCAAAATTTTTAAAAGAACTGATTGGAAGTGCGTCATTTTGTTTTTATGATGAAGAGGAAATAAATATGCATTATGCACCGTGGACTTCAGAAAGAGTCCCGTGGGTTATGTGGGATTCTTACCAATTAAAACCCGTTTGCGTGTCCTACACTAGTCATAGTGAGGAATCACCTCACGAAAAATTTTTAATAATAGCATTTTGCTGCTGCAGCGTGCTGCGCATGAAAAGTCTTAAAATTTCGGGAAACCTAATAAGTAGTAGATAAACTGCACCGATTCTAATAGTGTTTTCCCTTGGCTGCACTAATGCAAAACTCAGCTAGTGTAGCGTATTTTCATAACTGTGGTAGTAAACAAACTCATTCGGTGTACCATATTTCCGTGGCTATGGTATACAAATTTTATGCACAAAGTGAACTTTTGCTATACCATTTCAAAGAGACAATATAGAGCCAGTGTAACATTTAAAATTTGAAAATAGAAGTTAACTGAGAGCAGGATTTTAATGCAATGAAGTACACCATGGTATGCACTCCAGTGCAATGTAACGCTTACAATGGTGCGAGGTATATACTAGGTAGAGGGATATAGGATGGACCTTGCTTCGCGAAAAATCATTACGCAAAGAGAAGAGAATGTGAAGTAATTTTTAACATTATAGGTTTTAACATAACAGAAATAAGATGTTATTTTTTAAACTTTTTTGATTAATAACTTTTTATTAAACGACGAACAACGGCTAAAACTTGTTAGAGATCAGGATCATGACTTTAATAATATATACGGTCATTACACAAATAATATAAAGTCAGTAACTTTTGAAAGGGCCTTATATATTATCCGGACATTTTTGAAAAGGCTAACTTTATATAAATATTTATTCTGAGCAATTCTCCTTCTGATTGTAACGTATTTGAGTTCATCCTGTATAATTATTTATGAATATATGAGTCACCAAAATATGTCTATATATTGTCATGCTACTGAAAAATATTTCATTATTATGATAGAACAGCGGTGTGTGTGTGTGTGTGTGTGTGTGTGTGTGTGTGTGTGTGTGTGTGTGTGTGTGTGTGTGTGGGCGTGCGCGCGCGCGTGTGCGTGTGTGTGGGGCACGCGAGTGCGTGATAAGCTATAAATTATACATCTTACCTAGAACAATTTTAATCAGTGAACCATCATCACTAACGGAACCTTTGAATGTCTTGCTGTGTTTACCCGTAGTAACATTGTAAACGCGAATATTCCTGTCTTGACAGGCGGTTAGCACATGTTTCTGTCCGGAATCGACTTCCATGTCATATAAAGTAGTTTTTCCCTGAGCGTTGCGGCCTCTAGCAAATTGCGGCATTCCACCTGGTGTCTAAAAACATAAGAAAAAATTGTAATATAAAATCTTGATGAACAGATATCAAATTAATTACACTGTTCAACAAAAAGTTATTTTTTTTTCGAACAACAACGAGAGTAATTATTTCTCATAATTTTTAGGTGCTAAATATAATGACATTTACCAAAATTTTCCATCACGTTACAAGGAGAAATTTGTGATCAAAATCGCAAAATGGGCAACCGACTTTCTCCTAGGCAAGAGGAGAGATGAGATAAATCTTGTTTCGTATGAAATTCGAAAACTCATGTAAAACAGTACAATTATAAATCTCATTTTATTGTAATACGTAATTAATCTTTCATTTTAATTACTTCACACACAACTCTCTCTCTCTTTCTCTCTCCCCCTCTCTCTCGCTTTCCATATACATTTTTTTCACTAATAACTTTTCAATGAACAATAACCACCACCTAAAATCTTTTGAAAGTTACTCAAGATCATAATCTTATATCAAATCAAGGTCATTGGTGCGGTGTCTCTTAATCCGAATAATTATCGAATCGTCTGTAGTTTGAAACTGTATGCAAGTGTTAACAAAATTAGGAGAAATAATAAACCACATTACTCTAGTATGGGTTCCTAGATATCAGAGGAAATGAGAAAGCTAACAGTCTGGCTAGGGAAAATAGAAGTGAAGCCCTTTTTTAACTTTAACTGCAAATTTTTCAATCTTACGTGATAGAATAATTTGATAAATAAGTATTCAGCGTTCAAAAATTACGGGAAACGATTATCTTCGTTTTTGTACATTTTTCTGTTGAACAATGTTATCGATCATCGCACAGGATTACTTACCGATTGCAATTGTCTAAAAATTATACTTTTATCTGCGCCGCAGGATACCATCTGTATTTGATTAGTCTGACTCAATTGATTAAAAAACCTGACCGCAGTAATAGAAGAACTATGATCATCAAGCGTTTGCAGAAAATTATATCCCTGATCAACACTAAAAACGTGAATCAATCTATCGCGAGATGCACTTGCCAATAGTCTAGGAGTGTTTAATGAATGTCGCGAGAATTTGGAATATTCTAGACATAGCACCTCGGCATCGTGTGCTTCTATTAGACATAGCTCTTCCAACGAAGAAATATCGTAAATTCTGATGTTGCCGGATCTGTAAAAATAATATGTAAATATTATATCTAAATAAAATAATAAGAGTTTTGAATGTAAAAACAATAATATTAAAGCTGTTAAGGATATACCAGAGTCAACGCGCAGAAGTAGATGCGCAAATAAATTAGCTTTGTTGTATTACTGTAAATTCATATATAAAAAATAGAATCTCACAAGTTACATAATTATTATAGATATATATAATTAAGTTATTTGAATATTTAATAAGAAACGTTAACGCGCGCGATAAAATCTTACGTAAGATCACAATATCCGCTGTTGCGCTGAGGTTATATTTCGAGATTAATTTATAATGACAAAGAAATAGAAATAGTTATAACAATAAATCCTATCACAACTAGCCCCGGGTTGTCATATTTACATATTTTAATTGTTGCTTAAACAAAAATATATTTCAAGATATAACTGTAAGTTATTACTTATGAAATAATTAAAGTTTTTTAAAGAAACATTTGGAATTATCATATAATAAACAGAGTAATAAATACAACATTTAGAACCGGTCTCATTAACGCCGATTACCTAATCGGTCGATTAACTTTGTCACCAGAATTGTCAACAGCAAGATTTTAAAATATGTCTTAATTTCTAATCTATTCATGGTAAGAAAAAAAGTGTAGCATGGATGATAAATTAGATTTTGAAATATAAATAATTTTGAGTATTTTTATAAATATGTATTTTGTAACAAATTTGTTATCAAGAAATTAGGTTAAAGATAAATTGTCAGTTTAGCAGTTGACAAAATTTAAATTTAATCGGCGAATCAAGTAACTGACGTTGGTGAAAACAGTTCATAATATCAATGATTTATTTTACTTGAAGCTATCAAAAACTAAAAATATTTTCTATTTCTGAAAAACCGCTATTTAGTCTGAAATAACTTATTGCATTATGACCGTAAGGTTTTTGCTGAAATACTATATTTTAAATCAAATATTATTATTATTTTACAGCAATTTTAAGTGTATCAACATGCCCCATATATCAATTATTCCCGGTCTCCCCTCCAATTTTTCTTTGTTACCTATCGCCAGAAGCGAGATGCTTGCCATCAGGAGCGACTCTTATCGATCTCACACCGTTACGACTGTCGTAAGATGTATCGCTTCTTTCAGTAGATCCTGCAGCGGCCAAGTCCAGATCCTTTAGATAAGTCAATTCTGAATCTATGTACAATACCTTGAGTAATTCCTGTCAATCAAGAAAATAAAATGTTGGAAAATAAAATATTAATTCTATATGTCTGCATTTCAATCTGATAGATTTTACAAAAGGAATAAGATTGGCGCACGCGCTTATGTACTGACGTTGCTGTAAATGTTCCGTTTATATAAAGTATCATTCGGTGAATTGTCCTTCTCTAGATTCCAGACCCTTATTGTATCGTCACTGGAGCAAGTAATGAAACTTCCAAGCGGCATTGCACCGATGGAATCTGTATCAACCGGATACATCTCAACACCCCAGATGCAAGCTGAATGGTATAGAAATGAGTGTGATTTGCCAACCCGTTTGATGTCTCTCACATCCCAAACGTAGATGCTGTGATCGTTATATACGCAAGTCAGCTTGTTATTTCGCTCATCAAACGCCAACGCAATCGCATCCGGATATTTTGCGTTAGACGGGTGTTGAGACATATGGCTAAAAAGTAAATAGAAAGATATTTCTAAGTTATCGCAACAAAAAATGGTTGAGATACGCAATTGTTATAAAAATAAACCTGATGGATAATCCTTGTGCGACATCAACTCCCAAGTAATGTGTTCTCGGTAGCGTAGTAATAAATTGAAGTGTGCTAGGACTAAAGCATCTTACAATACCTTCAGCGCATCCAATAAAAATATATTTATCTCCGATCGCCATACAATTGGCACTACTTGTCTAGAAAAACAGTAAAAATGATAAATATTTAGTATAACATCTTATCTTCCCTTCTGATTTTCCCGTAATTTTATATGTATTTTCATGCGTAAAATATATTCCGAGAAGAAAAATCGGTGCTCAAGTTTTGTTCTTTTTTTTTTAATTTAATGTTAACATATAAAAATACATAAATTTACAAAATTATAGAAAAATCAGAGAGGAGTTATATTTACCATAAAATTTTTTTCATTGTCAAAAATTTAGGTAAAACTACTTTTAGGCGATCTATCTTTAGTGGTTTTGATCTTGACATGTTACAAAGATCATCCTTTTAACAAGAAAAGGTTCATAAATATCTCTCTCCAATTTTAATGAAACTTGGCAGATTTGTAGAGGCGTAAAAATATTCGATATTATTTTTTTTTATCAGTAACCAAACATGTTTAAGGGAAGAAATTAACTCTCGGAGATCAGCTAAATTTTAATTTTTTAGTTCTAATTTCTGAACGAAGTATGATAGCGAGTAATATAAATAGAAGGATACTAGATTGGATACAGTAACCAACATATGACGCTCATGTCAAAGACATTCCTAGAGATTATAAGATGTTTTTTTTTCGAAAAGTTCTGAATTACTGCAATAAGTTAGAGTAAAACAACTATAGCTGTCTCACTCTAACTTATTACACCAGTTCTTAGGATAGAAAAAAAATAGACCTACAGTAAGAGACTGACATAGATGGTCCAATTTTTGATTGGCTGGATACAGAATGACATAGCCAATTTGTGATGACTAAATATACGAAAGGAGAAACAGAAATGCAAAAAAGGGAAAATAAAAGCAAATAATAAGCATTTTAACATTACATTTAATAAATGTTCCTAGATAGCAACGTGTGTTTTGTTGCTGGCATATTGCTTGCTAAGTATGCATTGCTAAGCATGTGTTGCTACCAGAATTGCAGCAATTCCTCATTTAGTGGCAACTTGATACCTTTACGATATGATAACTTCAAGTACAACTTATCAGCAGTTTGCCCACTTTAAAATCGTCATCATAAAAATTCGTACTTCTGCCATCATCTTACTATAATAATATGCAGAATCATACAATGCTGTCATATTGCCGACAACACAAAATAACATTGATGCAGCTATCTTGTTGTTAAACTGCTGGCAATACATATACACATTATTGCCTGCATGTTGCTACAATGTCGATATATTCGAAATCATTGAAGACAAATCTGTGGCAAGTTACCAGCATTATAAGCAATCACAGATTTGTGCGATTTTGCTGAGACATGCTTTGCTATCTAAGTTAATATCGCAATAAAATGTCGATAAATGACTATATAAACAATAATGACTATAAACAATATAAACATATAATTAACATCTGTATTGTGCGTATTTCCTCTAAATTTCTTACACAATTAAAACCTATGTTAGTCTCTTAATATAGTGTCTCTAGAGGTTCCATAGCGTGAGATCTCCGGAGTTCACGCGTGATGTGTCGGCTGTGATCAGTCGCGGCCGGCATTGCATTCATACTTTGTTCCTTGCGTTCTTTTATCATAGTTCTCGTTTTTTCGCGTCTACTTATCACATTCTCTCTCTCTCTCTCTCTCTCTCTCTCTCTCTCTCTCTCTCGCACCCATTGCATTCTCTCTCATACCTATTGCATACTTACTACGTCGTGAACAGAATTCTCTTACAGAATTCACTTATTGCAATTATAAACGAGTTCTCACTCATCAGCTGAAAAACAAGTATTAAAAACGGACAATCCACTCAAAAATACTTATGTGCATACTCGCATACATGTTGTCGTTCATCAGCGGAAAAACGAGTATTAACGGGCAATCTTCTTAAAAATACTCATATACACACTCGCGTATACTTGTCATCGTTCCCTCGCGATATACTGCGAGTGCTTGAATGTAAGAAACGAACAAGAACGGGTTATAAATGGGCTAAGATCGACCCATAAGATATAAAAACAATGATAAATTTTTATAAAAAAAGATGTGTATAATTTTTAATTATTTTTACGTTTTTAAATTTAAGGTAAGTATCCCAAGGTTCATTCGTGAATATACTAAGTAAACATATAAAAAGGTTTTTAACTCTTCATAGTCACACTTCTTAAAAGTTCCGTAAATAATGGTCAAATCAAGGTCAAAATGATCCCAGAGCGCATTTAATCGATTGCCGTATTCAATTTTCGTTCTGTGTCAAAAAAATTAAATGGTTAAATGCGTTCATTTTGACCCCAGTGTGACCACGAAGGGTTAATTCTGTAAAGTCAATTAAAAAATGCCAATTTTAATTTGTAATGTTTAATTGATAATTTTCTCATCACTCCAACATTACTTTATGGGTCTCTTCCAATCTCAGTTAAGTCGACAGTTACATGGGGCTCATTTAGGCTCACTTTCACAACTCATGATTAAATTTTAACTTAAAATAAGTTAAACTTTGGTTAAAAGTTAAGTTGTGAAATGAGTTGTGAAATTGGTTTAAATGAACCTCAAGCATCGGTTAACTTAACAGAGGTTGGTAAAAGAGACTCTAATGCGCATTTCCACCAACATAGATTAATTTTAATCTCGGTTTAATCTACGTTGGTAGAAATAGGCATAAGTCTTTTGATAGTTACTCATTATTAGAGTCTAATCTTGACAATATATGTCAAGATCATTGAAAATGTGTGCCCTAAACGAGAATTTTTAATTGATTGTAGTTTATTCTTTTCTGCTTCATATTATATTCGCAAGTGTTCGTAGAGCCTAATCATTTGAAGTAACTTACTCGAAGCTCGACCCATTTGTCCAAAAGTCTTCTAATATTAAATTCACACAGCAAGCCTGTTTTAGTTATTGCGTATGTAGAGTCCGTCATTTCTCCTCTACCGCAGGCTACATCAACAAAATCATTGTTCCTCTGTTCTCCTAATATAGCAGATCGACCCATCAAAGGCACGGGTTCTTTATACTGCATAATAAAATATCATATTAAATTGATTACTCTTCTATTACATCAAGAAAAAAGTAAAAGAAGAAAATTGAAGATTAAATAGGCCAAATATAAATGAGTGAATAAAATGAATATTTAATAAATGCATATTTAATTAATAATAATAATAATAGAGTAATTAATAATAGTAATAATTAATGAGCGGATCAATTTAAACTTTTGTCAAATGTTCTTTTCAATCGTTATTAAAAGTACAATCACATATAAAATTAATAAAAAATTCATAGCATACAATACATATAATAAATTATATATATATTTCTAAAATAACAACAAGGATTAATAATAAATGTCATTAAAAATCTTAATGTATCCAAATATAAAAGAAGTCCATAATTGAATCATTTTCCACATGAAAATTACATAATTAAGTAATGTTAAAACCACATTAAATTGTTGTGTACAGTACATGTTAGTCTGAATATTTTCAACTCATTAACAGACTATGGATAAGTTGTTTTAAAACTCGTTTGTTAATCTTGTTATGTAAAACCAGGATTCTTTATTTCATGAAAAAACAAGGAAATGGAAAGCGGGCATGGAAGAGCATAACTGACACCACTTTTTATTATCTTAGTTATTGCTCTGGGGTGCGTGATACAAGTCGAAAACATTTGAATAGACCCCCAGATGTGGATCAATATCGATACGAAACATTATTTCGCTGTCTGAGACAGTGCGTCCTTTATCTTAGATCAAGGAATTTGATCCTTTTAATCAAGAATCGAACCTGATCTTCGAGAATGGTGAATGAAACAGAAAGTAGATTTTTACAACTATAGATGTATGTATATTTATTTATACAGGTTGTTTTATTTTAATTGATACACTAAAATATCTCGAGAAGACGTGGGATTAAAAAAAGTTTCAGACAAAAGTTATGCGACAAAAGTTATTCGAGGGGAACACAAAATGGTATGAACATGGGTTTGACTTTGAGTAACGTTGTCGAGGTCACTTAAAATTTTTTTAAAGATCTCCCTCCCCATTTTTTATTTTTCGTAACTTATCTCGAATATTCAATTGAGCCTTGAATATTCATTTATTAGGTTTTTTAATGAAAGAATGTTATTTATTTCACATGAGCATTAAAAAATACATTAATGAAAGTACTTCCCATCACTTGTAAAACGCTACGAATTAATTCCAACACCTAATAATTAATCAATTAAGTTAATAAAATTTTAATTAAAATTTAGATTTTGTCGCAATATCTTCTCTTGTAGGACACATAAAAAAAAAATAAAGGCACTTTCATTATACAATCCGAGTATAAGCTATTGATTAAGCATATATAGAATTTTATCAGTATGGTCTTCATTGAGATCTAATAATTTCGCGAACTCGAAAAACTCGTCGACTCATGTAAAATTCATGTAAAACTACATGGTCAGTCTCGCCCTACCGCTAGACGTTGCGCGTCCTCTTAAAACCGAAATATTGCCGTGTCTCTGGATTTGTGGATTTACCTTTAATAAATTATTTACTGATAAATAAAGAATAAGATAAAATTATCAATATTTGATCTATTTCTTGTAAATTTCTAATATTCAATAATAAGGTCAGAGGAAACATAGAGAATTTTCTAGCAAGAGATACAAATTGACACAAGAATCATCCTGTCCTTGTTCGATAATCAGTAAGAAACAGACAAAATGACTCTTGTGTCGATTTGTGTTTCCGTTGAAAAGCTCCCTAATTCTGAAAGTATTTTTATTAACGGTTTATAATTTTGCTAAATTATTTTCTACGTGTTTAATAAATTCAATTGTTATAAAATTATTGTGGGGAGGGAGACAAAAACCTTCGCTCCAATTATAGTAATTTTTCAATTTTCACAAGAAAATTAATACTTGAAAGATTTAAAAACCAATTATCTTTAAGTATGACAAAGTTAAATGACATTTAATTGAATTTAGCTGCTCATTTAAGTGAATTTGAGTGCTCCTAAATTTAATTAAATATCGTTTAACTTTGTTCATGATTCAAACTCAACTGATTCAAACTTTGGTCTTCGTGGACAGAAACAGTAATATTTTATATGATCTACTTTATTAGAAATTGATCATTTGCTTTCAGTTCCAACTAATGTAATTTGTTCTACAATTGTTTTTTTTTTCCGCAACATTCTTTGCGGAAAATGCATTTGTATATTTTATTTAAAGAATCGTGCTGAGAATAAAAAAAATTATTATAAATGTTATATGGTAATATATCTTCTTTACATTTTTCGTAACAAAAATTTTAAATTTAGGAACCTGTACTGATTAAATAAATCAAAGATTTCAAGATTGAGTAAATTATAAATCTAAACTCTTTTTCGCTATCCATTTGAATTCTTGGTTGAAATTTCAAATTAGATATGTGTGATTTGTTTTACGCATAAATATTGGGATTGTAACTCATGTATTTTACAAGTACGTAAAAATTTAATTCTTAAATAAACTCTCACACACTTTCTATTAAGACCCAAGGTTTTAGTAATTTAGTGACGTGTATATCAAACATTAAACTAATAAAACTAAGAATTGAATATTAGCAATTCTTAAAATAACACATATATCAGGTAGCTCAAATTATAGATAAAATTTAAATCTTCCATTGATATATCAATATTATTTTTTCAATATATTGTCTTACTTTTTAATCCGTTAGTAGCACATGAAAAAGTAATACAATATATTTTTTTCTTTTAATGAGTTAAAAAGATCAAAGCTGTTATCAACATCATGCGGAATGTTGTTTAATATTAAGTTATGTAAGTAATTGTGTCGGGATAGAAAGTTGTATTAGTCAAAGATATTAAAATTCTTAATAGAATATTCATTTTATGTATCTTCGGCAAGCCATAGGCTCTCGGTAGTGAGCAATCACGAAAAGAACACTTTGCCAAGTTGAAATGTTTCGCTCATTAATTCCTTTAAATATACATATTATATATTTTTAAGTGTTATTAATATCTTCCATCATTTCCTCGTATATATTTGGTTTAATTAACCTTTTAATTATCAGTTTTAAATACAAGTTATTTTGTAAAAAAAAAGAAAATATAATAATGCTATTTCGCAAAAGATGTAAAACAGAGTTGAGTGTATACCTTGGCGCTACGTGAATGTTCCAAGTACCAAAACTTAACGTGCCTATTACCCACGGTAACAAAATAATTGCCATTTTCTGCGAAGCAGACAGCTTTCACCTTGCTCGAAACTTTATTGGATGCTATTTTAACATCACTTCGCCAGTCCCAAACATTGACAATCATATCGTGCTGCGAACCGACTGATACAACGTATTTAATATTGGGTGAGAATGCCTAAAATAAAAAGATAAATATTCTTTTGATATCTTATACATTTCACAGGGTTAATTTTAAGCCTTCCGTCTTTCAAAAATTAATACAATTTATTCAATGTTGTATTTTATAACGAAATTTTACAAAAATAACTGATTTATGAGTATCTCATTTTTATGGAAATATCTTGACGAAGTAATTGACAAAAAATAATTTTTAGACAAATATGATCTAAAGAGGAATAAATAATGATGAAATCAATTTTTGGGAAAAATCAATTTTTTTAAGTATAATAAGTCAGATGAAGGTGTGTTTTAAAAAAATTGTATAATTTTTTCAAATAAAAGAATTAGACTTACAAGGATAACACCAGATATGAGCCCTTATCGAATGAATTTTAATATATACAAGGTGTCTCTTAAGTAAGATCCGGGCCGTATTGCGGACGTAGAATGGGTTAAGGGGAACAAAAACGTCTTATACCATTTTGAGATATCCGCTGTAGTTTTCAAATTAAAAAAGAAAACGTCTAAGCCAATGTGCGATGAAACCATGCCGCGCGAATTCGTAGCACGGCCCGGCCTCATCGCGCCTCATTTCATAGCGATGGCGCGCGCGCGTGCGTAAGGATGACGAAGCGGTATCCTTCTCTTCGCCCTCCCAGCGCGCCGTCACTATGGAGTGAAACGCGATGGGCCGTGCTACGAATGCGCGCGGCGCGGCTTCACCGCATATTGGCTTAGACATTTTCTTTTTTATTTCAAAAACTACAGCGGATATTTCAAAATGGTATAAGACTTTTTCGTTCCTCTTGACTCATTCTACGCCCCCAATGCAGTTCGGACCTTACTTAAGAGACACCCTGTATATAATTCAGCAAAATCGAAGGGACCCTGTTTGGATTGCTTTTGTGTAGAAGAAATAAATCAAGGGGTATAAAAAAATACTAATACTGAGCCAATACAGAATATTCACATATATTGTTTTATTGACTCCACAATTCAGGCACTGGTCGGCGCAGTTATTGCTCGTTTAACTAGAGCTGCGATCTTAAAATTATGTTTATGTTTTCTTAAAAAAAATAATACGGGTGCACTGCTCCCTCATCGCGCGTACGGCATTCGGCGAGTGTACGCTGGAAATGATGCATATTGTTACAATGTATACTTTGATACTTTTCAAAGAATAAAACAACATACGACATACAACAATACATATAAGTATCCTGTGTTGTTTCAGTATGACATTTTTTATGAGATCTTTTTTACATAATATAATTTTTCCGTTATTCTACATGTAAAAACGTTAAAATAGAATTATCAAAAAACAGTTAACGAGATATTTTATACTTTATTCTGACACTTTTTGTCATAAAATTTAAAATATTTTGTAAATCATTCATTTTTTGACAACTGTACGTAGTACTTTTATGTATAGAAAAATGAGAGGAATCAATTTTAATGTAAAAAAACACAGCTGCTTGAAAAAAAGAAGATAGTTGTACGTTTCAAATTGCATGATTTTTGAAAATTATTTTGATGTGAATGATTATTTTATGAAATTGCAAATTGCATGATTGCAAATTGCATTGATTATTTTATATGTTTTTTATGTATGAGATGTTCCACGTCAATCGGATCATCTGCGTGCCCAAAAATCAGCGCAATGAAAAGAAACGTTCAAGGTTTCAAATTATTCGTATGTATTTTCGAAAGAAATGTGCCATTTTGAAATCTAATATGGTGGATTCAATATGGCGCCGAGAAGCAATAAACATCGCATACAAATGTAATATTTTCTTGCTTAAACTACTGTATTGATCCCAGTTGTCTTAAAAATGATTACTTTTAGATTTTTCAGAGTTGTTGATTACAAATCTGCTGTCAAAATTTCGAAATCCAAAATAGTAGATCCAATATGGCCACCAGCATACGAAACTTTGAGCTCTATACTCTTCGACCTTCAACTTCTTTCCATTCCCAAGCTTCTTAATCCCGAGCGTGAAGGGATAATTTTTGAATGTTTAAAAATCAATCACCACCTGCTGAAAACTAGTAATGAAATATTTTTTTATTCTAAGACTAACTTAAAATAGTTTACCCCTCTTCACGGTCGAGATTAAAAAGCTTCGCAACCCTAAAAAGCCTAGAAATAATCATTTTCAAGCCAATTGGAGATCAATACAGTAGTTTAAGTAAAAAAATGTAACATTTGTATGCGATGTTCATCGCTTCTTGACGCTGATTTTTGGGAACGTAGGTGATCCAGATGATGTGGAATGTTCTATGTATGTGTTTATTAGTTAATAATACATACACTTTTAAATGTTTTTTATATACTTGCCTATAAAACATCAACTAACAATAACATTACGTCAATTTATAATTTCCCATTTAACAATATAACTTATGTACAACGTGTGTTACCTTACATTTATATTGTTAAATGAGAAATTATATAATATTGATATAATGATACTGTTAGTTTGTAGTCTGCGGTAGTATACATTTTCTATCTATATAAAATTTTTTTTTAATTATTTCATTTCCAACCTACTAAAGCGAAATCTTGTTTTCAATAATTCTATGACAGTTAAACTATAAAAAACTATATTTAAAAATTGATTTCTTTTCGCATAATTACATTTACTTAAAGCGCAACTCCCTTATACAACGAAAATATGAAGAATGAAAAGCCAGAAATGCTCAATCGCGAACATTTAAAATAAAAAGTCATTGCAATACTCACCACGCAGTTGATGCCATACTTGTGTCCCGGAAATTCCGCGATCTGCACAGCATTTTGCGGATCAGAAATATCCCAGACACGAACGTTCGGCATATGACCGCATTCACCAGTGACCAAGAATTTACCGTCCCCGGCCAATGCCAGGGAAGTCACAGTTTTCCGGCAAACATTTAATACGTGTGCTTGACTGTTTCGTCGTGGATTAAATAATACGACAGTGCAACTGCAACAGAAGAAAACTAATTTATAAAATGCAATGGAAATAATATTAATTAAAAATATTAATTAAAAATATTAGAATATCGCAAGTTCTGATATAATAATGCATAAAACGATAGCATAATATAACTTTAAAAATTAAAATTAATCGATAATAGTTAAGTTAAACCCCTAGGCGAGTTTTAATCCATAAGGTCCGAGAGTAGAGGAGTAGGAGTTCCGAAGAGTAGGATACTTCTGCCGGGAAGTGCGTCACTTTGGCCCGATTGCAGAACATTATTTTGACTTTAAGGGGATGCTCGAGCCGTATTACCGATAAAACTAGCGTTTTTGACGTTTTCCTGTCGAATTTCTTCATAGTGATTTCATAGAATAAAAATTCTTTTTCCATGATTAAAATGTACAATACATGCTAATGTACCTGCTGATGTATTTTATTGAAAGTTAGAAGAAATAAAAGAATTACAAATTTCTTTATCCATTTTTATCTCAGTATGGCGACCAACGCTGAAGGTAAAATTCGACAGAAATAAAAATGTCAAAAACGTTAGTTTTATCGGTAATACAGGCGGCTCCAGCATCCCCTTAAGTGAGGCTTAAAACTGTCACTTTCTCTCTTTAAAACCAAGAGAGTGAGAGAGACTCGCTTAAAATCAAAGTAAAATCCGTTGGTACAATCAGGCCGTTGTCTCGATGCACAACCTTGCTTTAAAGCGTCGTCTACAATAAAGTAACAGTAGTAGATGTCGAGAGGAAGCTGGTTTTCCGGCTCAGCCAGAAATAGTTGATCAATTAGCGTTAAATCAATGCTGATTCGACATTAATTCGATTAATTGATCACTTCTACTGAGGAATGTAATAGAGCGTAAAGTAAAGCTGTAAGCGTGCGTGCGTGCGTTTTTAATAATATATTTTAAAAAGAATCGAATCAATTCCGAACAGACATGTTCCTTAGGCACTCAGACATTAGGTATAGAAAATAAAATAATATTACAAATGACAAATTTCTTTATTGGAGATGTTACATGAAAGATTTCTTTTCTCAATTTTTTTTTATTTTTCGTGTATATTTGTTATCTTTCATTAAAATAAAACTTTTATTCTCGTCATTACACATTAAAAAATCAATAAAAAAAAGTTAAACTTACCCAGCTGGATAAGCAACCAATTCGCTGGTCACATCACAATCGAGGGCTGCATTGCTGGAAACAGTTACACCTAGTACACGTTCTAGCTTAATCTGAAACGTATTAAGAAATGCATTATTATATTGATTCTGTATAGTTGATAAAATTCTTAAGATATTAATTGACAGTATTAATGAGCAATCTGACGTTTCGCAATCTAATTTCCATTAATGTGATTTTGATTTCCAAATACAAAGTGATTCAGAGCAATTTTGTTCTTAAAATGTATCATTAACTTAATTCTAAGATTTTTTCCTTTACCAAAGTTTTTCCAAAGCATAATTTTTAGATTGTAACAAGAAATAATTAGCCAATTGTGGGCAGCTTATGGAAAGTAAGGCAGGGGCGGCACAACTCACTCCGACGCGGGCGCTTATTGCGATCATATTATTTGCTACCTATACCAAACGCGTGACGAGATAATACGCGCACGTATATAGGATACTTTTCAGCGTATACAAGCGATACTATGTAACACAGTGTATAATTCGATGCTTTCCAACTATACATATATGATACAAGTGTATACACACACTCGAATTGAACCATTTAACTTTGTACGATCGTGTCGATTTGTGTGATAATTGGAAAGCACCACATTGTACGTAGTAGCATAATGTTACTCAAAAGTACCAAATGTAACGTAGCGTGTTCTAACTGAAAAACAGCATAAAGTGCTTTTCAATTGCTTAACACATCTTAACACAGGAATGTATAAAGCGTAGCATTATGCACAATTCACTGAATACAGTGTAACCCAGTGAATTGTCACATTTTTGTTGTTTGTCTACGTTAAATAAGAATGAAATGATTTACTGTATTATACAGTATCTGACTGTGTCCTTGCTGGAAAACATCCACTCTGTGTACGCTATGCACGGTTTCGATCCAGTTCGGGAGTTAGATTAAATGAAGCTTTTTCCATTTGTGTTGAATAAAAAAAAAACAAAAGTACCGTTCAACATCCTTCAATCTCATTTATAGCTACCGCAATTACATGTAATTATCATTAGAAAACATAAGTTTACACACCGACTAATAATCTCGAGCTGAGTACGGATATGTAATATAATGTGTCGAATACAACAATTGGAACACAACATGTGTCGCCATGTGCACAAAAATGTTTTTACAAATACGCGACGTGAAATCCCGCTAGCAAGATTATCAAAGATAACTTTATATAAACGTGCTAATGTATTTAAATTTATCATATAGTATTGAAGAATTGTCTAACAAGAGAGACCCATCAACTGCTACTTGAACGCGAGCGTAGTGTAGCAGATAGTGCATAGTCTGCTATACTAGAGATCCCGGGTTTGATCCCTGGCAGAATCGAAAAATTTTCGTAACTGCTTTCGGAAGGAAATGGCAAATTACCGAATAATATAATTGACCAGGAAACCTCTCTACCAAAAATTGCCGTTTGGAATCGGCGTTTAAACTGTAGGTCCCCATATACTTTGTGTACGATCAGTGTGCGTGCACAGGTATATGAAAGGGAGATGCCGGCACGCTGTGAGCGTATGGCATTTGAAGAAGAATTGCTAGTTGCTGATGCCAGCAAGTGATATATCATTAGAAAGCACTCATCGAGATGATCACAGATATACATAAGTCATTGCCTCCTGAACGAATCTCAGTATGATGTACAAAGTGCAATATTGCGAATCTACGGCAACAGGGTGATTCCTAGACATAACTCCGGCCAGGTTGGTACAGATTATATCCGAAAGTCACTTGTTCTTTTTAGCTAAATTTCTTGCACGATTCATCTTTTCTCTTTATCTCTCCAACGTGGAGAGAAAAGGAAGAAAGATGAACCGTACAACTTCAGCTAAAAAGAACAGACCTACCCTATCATAAAGAATTCGCAATGTTGTACACTCTATATATACATACATATCACAGTTCGTTCGGGAAACAATAATTTATATATCTGTGATCACTTCGGTACATGCTTTTGTAATACAAATTACAATAAAATTCAATTTAAAAAAAGGTATATTAACTATATCAAACTATTCATGGGTCCAACGTATGCGATTTTTTACATTGCTGTAACTTTTTTATAATATAACTTGAAGACCCGGATTGAGGCTGAAAAAAACTTTAACTGTCCATAAATATAATAAGCCTGCAAGGGTTTTTTTTGCATTATTCTTGATAGAGAATGCACGAAAGTTCGAAGAAGGTACTTGAGACCCATACATGACTAATTTGTAAGTTACTGAATTTCGGATAAAAGTAAGTACATAAAAATGTATTAGGTGTACAAATAAATTTCTGCCGTTTGACAAAAGACGGCGTCACTAGCAAGCTATGGTTAAAATTATCTGATGTAAAACATTATATCGTAAGGTTGGACATCTGTTAACAACATAACCTTGAAATACTAGTGATTTTGTATCAGCATCATATATTTTTTTTTGTGCGAAAATGCCGAGTTTTGAGCAGAATAAGCGTCATTTGCGGGAACTTTTGATTTACTTCTTTAATTTAAAGAAATCTGCAGCTGAGGCTCATCGATTGCTTGTAGAAGCATATGGTGAGGCTGCCTTAAGTGAGAGAAGTTGTCGTGAATAGTTTCAAAAATTTAAGAACGGTGAATTTGACGTCGAAGACAAAGAAGCGGAAGGCCGAAAATGTACGAAGACGCGGAATTGGAAGCATTATTGAATGAAGATTCGTGCCAAACGCAAAAAGAATTTGCACTTACATTTTGACTTACATCAATAAATGCTTAATTTTTGATAAAAAATGGCGGAAACTTATTTGTACACTTAATAGAATTAAAAAGAATTATTTCAATATAATAAATAATAGAAATTTTATAATCTCTGTCAATCTTCGGAGATCGCTCGGCCGCGATGTATTGCTTTAGAGCGAGTGTTGCATCATCCTCTAAACTAAATCCTAATAAACTTATTATACATACTATTATACCTTATAACTAATTATATATACTATAATAATTATATATACTATAATATTTATATAATATATATATATCAATTCTTTATCTATCATTTTATTTTGTTTAAATAATAAAATTTATTTATTAATTAAACTTATAATATATAAATTTTTCAAAAATGTCGATAGTTCGAATAATTATACTTTTTTGAGCGATTCATATCATACTGTATTTTTTTTGTAAGTCCAAAAGGGTCAACTAAAAAAATCCTACGGGTTTTTGCTTGAACATTAAATTAAAAATTTGAGAATTTTATATCTAAAGTAGTCATTTTTTGCGAATTTTTTCAATAAAATTTCTTTAAAACATTATAATTAATTAAAAATAAAATATTTATTTGATTCATATTTATCTGTCTTTGTTTAACTTCGAGGTTAATAAATTTCACACGTTTTGAGTTAAAAAAATACATATTCAGTCCAGAGATATAGCGTGACAAAGTTTCACAAACCCTGGTGTAGCCGGGAAGATAACCAAAAATAACAATAGTCTACTAGGATTAATAATCTCGCCTAATCTATCCCCATCTTATCTAATGCAATAATGTGAGCGCGCGCGCCTAGTTGTATATGTGTGTGCATGTATAAGGCCCAGTTTTACAACTAATGGTTAACTTTTAACCGAGGTTCAACTTGTTTCTCATCTTTTTCCAATTCTAAAATTGGAAAGAGACAATGAATAAGTTGAACCTCAGTTATGAGTTAACTGTCAGTTATGGAACTGGACCTAGGTAATCGACTGCAACTCTCCCATTTTTATGATTTCCGGAAACTACCCTGAAACTGTAGACATTCGCGGAGAAATTCTATAGGAGATAGTATCGCGCACATTAGTTTGCAGAATGTATCAGATCTCAATCGCAGTTTGAGATTGTTCTGAGATTATTGCAATTATATCTTCTCGACATTGGACCTACTCTTTTAGATTAGAATCTCCGACTCTCTCCCTAAGGTCTGCCGCACACAAAATTCCGTAACAATATGCGTAAGGTGTAAACTGATAAACCAATCAGAGAGAGAGGATACTGCTTTAGATTACGTAATCTAATGGAAATAGAAATAACAGTAAACTGAGCACAAGAATTGTCGTAATACTTATTATTAATACTTATTAGACTTAAGTTGTAGATATAAGTAACGTACAAGCTTTCACGTATGATATAACTTATTATCATACAACTTATTATCGTGTCTCCAAAATCGGCAAATAGTCGTATGTCATACGCTAAAGCTTGTGTGTTACTTACGTCTACAACTTAAATCTCTAAGTAAGTGTTATGATAATTCTTGTGCTCAGACTCTTACCATAATCTCCCAGGCGGAGATCTCATAAAGTAAATTTCAACCGATTAAAACTCGCCTTATGGATAAGTTTACTGCTATTTCTATTAGATATTTCCGTTAGAGTACGTAGCAGTATCGTGATTAGCTCATCGACTTAAGTTTACGTCTTAAGATTACTATTACAGAAATTTTGTCTGCGACAGCTCTAATTCCGAATCTGCAATAGACTTTTAAGCCTTAAGTCATAAAGAATGGGCAAATCACAATAAATTATTCTCCTCGCATTCGACTGTAGTTTCTCAATTTCTTACAATTTAAGGCTTAAAACACCTATTGTAGATCTGGACTTATGCCTAGTTCAGACGTCAGGCAGTAGAGCAGCAATCAATCAGCAAGGCGATATTTACAATGACGTAAAAAATATTGCCTCGCTGGTTAGTTACTGCTCCACTGCTTGACGCTTGCTGCGTTCAGTCAGAGCTAGGCATTACGATCTCTATTATTATTAGTCAATTCGCTTACTGCTTAAAGCCCATGGCACATACAAAAACGTAAGGCCGTAAGACATAAGCAGTAAGGAAATCGTAACATTGGATTCGCTACTGGCCTTACGATCTCTACCGTGATTGGCCAATTCGCCTTACTAATTACGTTTTTTTATGTGCCATGGCTTAAATCTTACGTCTTAAATTTTTTTATGTGCCATGGCCTTAGGACTGCCACAGACAAAATTTCTGTAACAGTAACTTTAAGCGTGAATTTAAGCCAATGAGCCAGTCGGGATACTGCTTTAGATCTACTCTAATGGAAATAAAAATAAACTTATCCATAAGGCGAGTTTTAACTAGTTAAAATTCACCTTATTGCGAGATTATGGATAAATTTACTGTCATTTCCATTTCGGTTAGATTATGTAGACCTAAAGCAATATTCTGATTGATTCATCGACTTAAATTCATGTTTTACGGTCACTGCGGAATTTTGTGTGCGGCAGCCCTTAATCCATCTACAGCTATTTGAAATTTTAACTGTTTGTTGAAAGACTCACGATGGAGACAGAGGATTAAGATAATGAATTGTTTGGTGAGTTATTTCCGACTGTTGCTAATTTCCGACTTATTAAAAGACTTGTAGAAAGACTTGGCCTAATATGAAAAATATATATAATAAGGTGTATAATAATGAAGTTCATAATTTACTCACTCTGTCTTGTATCCTAATATTTTCTTGACCCCTTTTTAAATTGGGAGCTCGGAGAACCTTGCTCGTAAGTAATGGTTCCATTATGACGGCAAATTCAGTTCTTTCATTAGGTTTTCATTTCTGAAAAAGTGTCTTGATCTCATTTCATTTCTCTGCAACAAAAATTATTTTCATATAACTTTAACAAAAAATTGGATAAATATTTTGTTTATAATTTTAAAAAATAAATAATTCCTTTGCTGTAGTACTCCTCTCTCTCTTTATCAGATTACAATTAGATTCACAAAGATAAATTACCTTATATTATGTTCACATATTTATTCTGTATGAGTATTTATTTCAACTTAGAATGCAACAATGATATATAGGATAGTCCATTTCAATCAATACAGTTAATAATTCCTCCGAAATTATTAATATAAAAAAGTATTTTAGATAAAAATTGACCGATTTTAAGAGGAACGTATTTTGGTCATGTTATTTTTCTTCTAGATAAAGATGCCAAAAAAATATGAAGGTCTCCTTCATTTTTTCAAATGAAACAATATGATTTTTTTATTCTGCATTTGAAAGTCAAGATAGAGATATTTAAAAAATCAAGATTTGCGAAATTTTATACTTTATTCTGGCACATTTTGACATAAAACATTAAATATTTCGTAAACGATATTTTCTGATATTTTTACTGTAATACTTTTATATGCAAAATAATTAAAAGGAATCATACTATGTAAAAACATCATATAATTCCATTTGAAAAAGCAGAAATGACTTTCATATCTTTTTGCTGCCTGCATTTAGAAGAAAAATAACATCAAAATATGTCCCCCTCAAAAACGTTCTATTTTCATCTAAAATATTTTTTCGTATCATTAATAATTTCAGAGAAAATTGACTGTATTGCTTAAAATGGATTATTATATATACAGAATGAGGAAAAAGTTCCGGTGGAATATCTAATTCATCAAAAACAAAACATTTTTGATAAAAATGTTTCATACACAAAAATTGTAGGATTTCAAATTATTTATTTACTGTTCTGGTCAATTTGATCTTGGGTGGCATCACAAGATCAAGTCAAGGTCACATCGATTTTTTTTTATTATGAAACACCCTATTTTTTTATTCGAAAATGTAATAGCCGGTATCAGGAACTCTTTTTAAAACACTATAATAAATTCATTTTTATTAAGTACTTTTCGAGTTATGAAGTTTGAAAGTTACAGTATCGCTGGCATTAGTATTACACGAAGTATAGGGCCAACAACTAAAACCTTTTAAATGTTGCTTAAAATCATGGGGTGTTGATATCATTTATTAAGATCAAAACTATTGTAATAATTTTTGGTTTTTATGTAAAAATGAAAATAAATAACCTGCAATGGCCTTAATCTTGACAAACGTTATCAAGATCATGATCCTGAACAATATTCAGGAGATTTTAGTCATCGAACGAATACCTTGAGTAATACAAATGCCGGTAATACTATAATCTTCAAGCCTCATTCAACTCGAAAAGTACTTAATGAAAATAAACTTTATTGTAGTGTTTTAAAAAGCTCTTGACACCATTTATTAGATTCTGGAATAAAAAATTAGTGTTCCATTTTAAAAAATCAATGTGATCTTAATCTGACCTTGGTTATACTACAAAGTTAAACTGTATCAATTCATATGATCAAATCAATAAATAGATCATTTTAAACCTTACAACTTTTGTATGAAACATTTTTTTCAAAAATGCTTCGTTTTTGAGATATTTTACCGATCCAGGACTTCTTTCTCATCCTGTATAAGCGCTTCGTATATTTCTAAAAAGTACATTTGTTAGAAAGTTATGACAACAATGGAATTCACATTGCTACAAAATCAACATATGACAAATAGATATTCTGGATTTCTTAGATTCACGTAAATCAAATCTCAATAGTATCGTTATAATAAATCATACATGACTTAAGCGAAAATAAGAGCAGAAAGAAATTTAAATGGTCATCTCGATTTTTTTCGTATACCAAACCTCATCAGGTGATGTCCGTATGTGATTCTCTTCCATATTATTACATGAGTTAGACAAAAGTGAATCAATTTTAATTGTTTGTTCTTGTCTAATCCATATAGTAATAGCATGAAAATAATAATAAACAATTTCCTGAGACCATACATATAATGTTTGTCAATTTAATTTGTGACATTATTACAGTAGTTCAGTTGTTTTTAAGTCCCTCCAAAAAATCAATTCGGTGCAATTCAAATGACTACATATAGTATATAAGTTCACATGGAAATAAAACACTTCCAAGATCCAGCTTCGACCGTTATAGGCTTTATCTCTTATTGTGTATTCACATTAAGCTTTTTCATGCTGATGCTCGACATTTTCAGCATCAAAACAGATCACGTAATAAAAATTAATGAATATCAAGCATTAATTTTAATCACGTGACCTCTTTTAACACTAAAAATGAGCGTAGAATATCAGTATTAAAAAAGTACCTTTAGACAGTCTTAATAAATTGTTTATTATTATTTAATTTTTTTCTTTTTTATTTGTAAATGGAACCCCCCAAAATATAACACCAATGACACTAGCTTTACTTTGTAGTATTTCCTTAAAAACATAATTTCGTATATTCTGAGATAAAATATGTGGCAAATTGAGATATTAGCAAATTCTGATATATTACGTAGAAGTGTAAAATAATTCCTAAAATAATGATATATTCCTCAGCTGTCAAAAATCGCTGCAAGAGCACTGCAACAGTTGACAGCTAAGCATTTTAGGAATTATTTTATACTTCTACATGCGATAGATATCTCAATTTATCACATATTTTACAGATTTCAAGATTACAGAAACATTGGGTTTTCAAGGAAAAACTAAAAAAATGAAATACATAAATATGATAGAGAATGCCAATAATCGGTCAAAGTTAGATATTATGAACACAATATATATTCTTAATATAAATTTAATTATCTTTAATTATCTCAGATTGTTAATTTAGGGGGGATTATTTCATATATAGGGATGTTTCGCCTTATCATATTTATATTATTAACGTCTCAGATCGATTGTGGTTAATGTTCGAACATTTCAGCGCACAGTCATATCTGAGATAATTAAATTTAAATTAAGAATATATATTGTATTCATAACATCTAACTTTGATCGATTATTGACGTCTATCATATTTATGTATATCATTTACATGATCGTACTTATTTGAAAAAAAAAATAAAGCTTTATATATCAAGTAATTTATTATATGTAACTTCCCTCATATCATTCCGAGAGAGCCAAATCTTAATATTTAAGTGAATACAATATACATGCAATTATATGATCTATACACGCCTAAATTTTCAATCTTGAACTGCTAAGCGGCTGATATTTTTCAGAATAAATTTTTCATAATACTTTAAGACGCTTATCAACGTATACACATCATTAAATTACTTATCAGTTTAATTTGTTATATTATTATTCTAGTTTTAATCAGGATTATGTTATAAGATAAATTTTAATTGGCACGCAGTTTGGACAATTTTATTTATATACGAATTTACTTTAACATATTATTATGCATAAATATCAAACTCCAATCAAAAATTTTCTTTTTAAAAACAATAGGTTATCTTAAAAATTTAATAAGAAATAAACTAATCACAGAGGCGTACTAACATCTTACGACATTAAAACAGTCTTGAAATCAGAACAAATCATGAATACTATTTAATGACTTGAATAAACAAAAATTATGTCACAAATAGGTTAAAAATACAAAAAGTAATTGTAAAATTCGTTAACTTACCAAAAAAAAAATATATATATATAGAGTAACGCAGTTACCAATGAGGCAAAAAAAGGCAAAAAAATGTAACTTGTAATACTATAATAATTTGTAAAACTATAAATTTGTTACAAGTAACAAGTTACTTTAATTTCCTATATGTATATACATATTAGACAGACAAGGAAAAAAAGATTTTTTTTTTAATCGGCCTCTCAGCCCAAAACTTCCATTACCAAAAAAAAAAATATATATATATATATATAGAGAGTAACGCAGTTACCAATGAGGCAAAAAAAGGCAAAAAAATATAACTTGTAATACTATAATAATTTGTAAAACTATAAATTTGTTACAAGTAACAAGTTATTTTAATGTCAAAAGAACACTCCTAAATTTTTATCAAAAAATATTAAGATTTAGAAATCGCTAGTAAACAATTCTTAAATCAAAGTTTCGATTTTCCTTAACACATGTTTGATTTTATGAAAAATGGCATAATCCAAATTTTAAATATGGTACAGTATGTTTTTTTAGTCGCTAAACACAATGTAATAATTCATTTAGCTTTACGATATACGTCTTAAAAAATATAGCCCGATTAATATGAAAAATATAATATTATAATTAAATACAATGATTACACTGAATCAATTAATAAAGACTTCTTTACTTAAAATATAATATAATATAATAAAATCATAAAAATATACGAAAAACAAAAGGGGCATTAGGAGTCTGCGCTGAAAATCAATTGCGCAAAAAAACAATAGAGATAATGAAAATTTAATACGTTTCGACATCGTTTTGAACCATCATCAGCACAATGAATAATAATAAATAATAAATTAAACCATATCATGGAAACGCATTCCCCTTACGTGATTATAACTGCAATGTGGTGAGGAGGGCTCCATCATCAACATCTTGAGTATTGTGCCAATCAGTTGCCAATTACAAAGATTTTAATGTGGCAACATATTATAATAGATGGAGAATTTTGAAAAAAAACAATAGTCACCACATAGCCGCCATAACCGTAGATCAAGTATCGTCAAAATTTAATGCGTCTATCCATTATAATATGTTGCCACGTTCAAATCTTTGCAATTCCTCAATTTGAGATTGACTATCATACTTCCACTCAGCGATGCAACTGATTGACACAACATTCAAGATGATGATGGAACTTCTCACCACATTGCAGTCATAATCGCACAACAGGAATGCATTTTCATGATATTTAATTTATTATTTATTATTATTCATTGTGCTGATGGTGGCTCAAAACAGAGTCGAAACGTGCTAAATTTTGTTATTTCTATTGATTTTTGTGCAATTGATTTCTGGCGCTGACTCCTAATGCCCCTTTTATTTTTTACAATTTTATGATTTTATTAATATAAAAAATCAAAAAATGACCTTTGAGTTAAGATTGATTTTAGCAACATTCCAAGCATTCAAATGAGTTATTACTCCCTTTAAATTGTAGGTCTGTTCACCCAGAACAAGATCCAGTTGGAATTTTCCTTCCTACAAGATCTTTAAAAATTGCATTTAACTGGATTATAAAACATTTTTAAAAAGAGAAACAATTTTTTTACAAATTCAATTAAATACAACTTTTTGCCTTGTAGAAAATTCCAACTAGATCTTGGTCTAGGTGAACAGACCTACAATTTCAGGGGAGTAACGACATATTTGAACGCTTGGAACCTTGTTAAAATCGACTTTGAATTCGAAATTTGATCATTTTTTCAATAATCGGGCTGTACTTCTTAAGATGTATTTTGTAGGGTTAAATAAATTATTGCATCATGTTCAGCGACCAACAAACATACAATATCACATTTAAAATCTGGATTAAGTTATTTTTGCATCAAATCAAACATATATTTAGGAAAATCGAAACTGATTTAAAAATCGTTCACTAGTCTGTATCTCAATATTTTTTTGATAAAAATTTAGAAATGTTCTTTTGGCACGAAATGGAAGCTTTTGAACTAAGAGATCGATTAAAAAAAAAATATTTTTTCCTTGCAGTCTAATATACACACACTCACACGCGCGCGCGCGCACGCACGCACGCACGCACGCACGCACACACACACACACACACACACACCCCTACCTTTGTGTGTGTGTGTGTGTGTGTGTGTGACCGCGCGCGCGTGCGCGCGCGCGATGATTAAAGCCAAATTTAAAATTATACATTTTCATTAATCTCCTTTATCGAAAAATATTCTTTGTAAATTGTTGGTGCTTCTATTTATTCATCAAATATGTCTCTTCATCTAAGTCTAATCGATCAAACACTTTTGCTTCGTCGTCGTAGAAACGATAGAGCGCAATGTGTAACTGATGCTTCGTGACTCGAAAATTCGAAATATGATTCAATGAGAGAACAAGATACGAATGATATCGAATGTCAATTGAATATATTATGTATACGTACAGAGAAGGAAAGAGAAAGATCCGCGAGAATGTCATCTAACGAGGTATTAACGTACCACTTGCTTAAGGTTACATTTTACGAATAATGAATACTGCTATAAGCGGATAGCTCACCTATCGATTTCTTAATGAAATACAAGCACCGTGTTCCGCAACAGTATACCGGATGACAGAATCGCAGAAAAGAGCCAATAAAGCGACAGGAATTTAACGACACAATAAACCCATGAAGAACCACGTATATAAATCACAAAACAGACTGAACCAGTTTCAGTATTGTCGCGGATTTAAAAATTTAATCACCAGATTTCTGATCCCAAATTCACCAAAATTCATCAGGTGGTAATCATGTGAAGGTGCATTTTCATGTTGATACTCGACGTTCATTGCCTGCGTTCGAAAATGTCGCTCGGATGCCACCGATGCTATGGATTCATCATCTGTGTCCTTGTTTAACATCTATGCCTATTTACATCAACGTAGATTAACTTTAATTTCGGTTCAATTTATTCTTTGTCTTTTTCTAATCTTTAGAACTAGAAAAAGACAAAGAGTAAGTTAAACCGAGATTAAATTTAATCTACATTGATGGAAATGGACATTAATGTTTTATTTATAGGACACTTGTGAGTGTATTCCGAACAGATTAACTTAGCTTATTTTTTAGATATTGGCAGTTCCGGAACTAAACCGAGAAATGTTCCGAACCCATCGATTTATGGCGTCGCAAGCGTTAGTTGCAACGCTCAAGTCAGTTCTTTTTCCCGATTTTCCTCTCTCTTTCTCTCTCTCTGTCTGTCTCTCTCTCTCTCTCTCTCTCTCTCTCTCTGTCTCTCTCTGTGAAGCAAAGACATATCTAAACCAGCAACCAAACAGAAGACTATTAGATTTAAGGATTAATTCACGCAATATTACATTAAGCTATCAATAAGGATAAGTTCTGTTTGTTTCATTAATTTTATTTTCTGTTATTTTCGTTCTAGCGATAATTTAATCAGTATTTCTTTCCTTAACGTCTACACTAGGAGGGGAGTACTGTAGTGTTGCAAGCGTTAGTTGCGGCGCTTGAATCAGTTCTTTTTTCTTTTCTCTCTCTCTCTCCCTTTCTCTGATGTCATAGCGTTTTGCGTGCGGATCTTTTGTAAGCCTCAGCGATAGATTTTAGTTAGCGCTCGATAAGATCAATCATCCCTTTATGTTCACTGCGAGATCGACATCGGTTACTGTTTATGTCATAAGGTATTATAGAATCTTTTAATTTCATATTTAAAATAATTATATAAAACTTAGCTAATGAAATGGCCGTCAAATAATATATCAATAAATTTTTTATTTAAATATAAAATGAATTATATTAATTATTACATCATAAAAACGACTGTTAATCTAAAAAACTGTACTACATTATTGTAAAAACTTATATTTTTATATTATTATTATTGTAACAATTAAAGAATTATAGTTTTGCAATCTTTGTGAAATATTACAAGCATATTACTGACATTTTGCAGGCATATTGTTAATTTACATGTCTGTAATATCTCTGGAATGTTACATTCTAATCTGCAATATTGCAACATTGCAACAATATTGTTTCAATCTTCTGTGTTGTATGGATACTACTACTACTCTTTTTCAATTATTTTTAATCATAACCGTTAGCGATCACTAGTGACCGACAGTTGTCGATAGTACAAAAAATTTTTGTTAACTTATCGAGGAAACGTCACGTGACTATCTCGGTAAATGTGACGATAAGAAACAAAAACCTCCCGAACAGTTAGAGCAAAGACTGAGGAAAAAACTGATAACAATGACATAATCTCAATAATACATAAAATATCTTCATTTACACACATATTTACATGTATATTCCAGAAAAGTTAATAGTAAATAAACAGACTAAAACTTGCTACAGATATAAATATCTATAAATTATGTCAAAATAACTAACGTATAAATAAAAATACATGCGTTAATAAAAGGGATTAAACAATTTAAATAATTGCATTTACTTGTTTTGTTTTATAGAAGACCTTTTTCTTTTTTCGTGTCAAAAATCGGTGTTTTCTTCACATTTTCTACAACATAGTATGACAATTTATTTATTTTAATTATTTTATTCATTATATTGTATTGGGTCGTCTAAAAAGTATCCGTGGTTTTTTGTCACTAGATGATGTTGATGGTCAACCCATCAATGACCCAATACATGTGAATACACGCTTGAAAAATATATCGTACTTGATGTAATTTGATGCACTGTGCAAGTAATCTTTCCCGAGTGAGGCACGCAGAGTACATTCTGGGAATTTTTGGGAACGTTGTTGGGAACGAGGAATAATGACAAAATGATGTTTACGAATGGATTTAAGCAAATCCTACCTTGAGGAATAGGTTTCCGAACGCAACCTAATTTTTTATTTTTCCCTAGATTTTTACAAAATTTTTTTTTTCAGAAATTTCTCGAAAATTTCTCACATTTTTTTCAAAAATTTCTCGGAAAATTTTATTACAAATTATACAGAAATTATTTTTTGACTTGGCAACCTTGCAGTACATGAAAATGTATTTTTAGCAAGTCTACTGGATGCACTCAGGGTGCGTTCGGGGAGACGTTATTCGTGCTATTTAGCGCTACTGGAGGTCGATTCTGTATATTCAATGTTGACCAATGAAATTATCAATATTCTAGTAAATTCGCTCACTTTTATAATTTTTACCTCATTTCAAGTACAGAATCGATTCCCTGTTCGTGGAGCTGCAGATAGCGCTAACAAACATGATCATGACGTCAGTGGTCTAGTTTCCACCAAGGAATCCAGATCAGAATGTAAAAACCAACCAACTACAGTCGAGTATTCCCCTGTTATAGTCGAGTGACAGGGGAATGCTCGATTGTAGTTGGTTAATTTTTATATTCTGATCCTCGATGGAAACTAGGCCACTAATGGTAGCGTGTTATGTCACAACTGCGCACTATCAACATTGTTCCTTCCGAGGTAGTGTATTGGTAGCATTAGCGTTTACAGATCCGATCTTAGCGTAACGTGGCTAGCATTTAACATTCGTCATAGTTTGATTAATGTTTGAGGGAATTCTGTTCTTAACCCAGCAAATAAGAATGGATTGAAATGGATTAAAATGGATTCAGATTTTCAGAAATATACATTCATGAATGTTAAAATAAATCTTTTTCAATCCTGAATGCATTTTTATTCATTTATATGAATTGCATAGAGCATATCTGTATGCCTTTCAATCCAAAAATAATATTAGCATTTTCTGTGCATCGTGAATACTATTCAATTCAGAATTGTGAATATGAAATGCAATTTTTCAATGTAATTGAATAAAAAAAGTTTTTATTTAAAAATGGACCATAAATGAAATGCTATTTAAATTATTTAAAATTATAAGTACGAAATTTTTCATTTTAATCCAATCAAGTTCAAAAAAATTGTAACGTAAAAATAATTGAGCTATGTTCTTTATTTATCTTTGATTAGAAGTAAAATGAATGATTGATGTGAACACTCTCAAACTAAGTCAAACACAACCCGAATATTAAGCTAATCATGGCGCGCGACATCGGCCAAGCAAGATTAGATTATCCGACACTTACCCAATGTTGTCTCATAGTAATATAAATTGTTTATATTTTATTATATCTGTTAAATGATGATATTTTTATTATATATGTATAATTTCGTTACTAGTTTAGCTGGTTGTACAGGGTGGGCCATCTATTGGTACGTTTTTAAAAATGCGATCAAATGAGCATACATTGATATTTTTTATTAATTTTTTTTTTGTTGTGAAGCTAAAAGTATCCGCGTCAAGAATGAAAAACGATTTCGTTCATGTGGCTCCCTCTACTGGCCTTACAGTATGCCATTCGGTCACCCCAATTATTAATGACATTTTGGACTACCTCGGCGCCAATTTCACTCAAAACAGTCGTAATATAATGTCATCCACTAACATCCCTTTCTCACGAACTTTCCTCACCAATTTGCGTATAGCTCCTTCGGTGGGTGCTCTATCACGACCCATATTTCTTTTCAAAATTCGTACAGTTTCGGCGACACAGCACTGACTTTGAAAATAAGTTTTTAAAATTTCAAAACGCTCTTCAAGAGAAAACATGTTGTTTCGTGCCGCGGACGGTATGACTAATAAACTGTCAAAATTTCGGGTCTGTAGCTCGTTCGGTGTTGCCATACGACGAAATTCAAAAACGTACCAATAGATGGCCCACCCTGTAATTGAAGTAGAGAATGAATAACACATTTACGAATTGAAGAAGTGATGTAGTGGATAACGTAGAAGATTCACATATAACCCAGAGATCCCAGGTCCTACTAAGATGCATTTTTTAATCAATTTGAAGTAATTAATTTTAGGTATAATTATTATAAATATCTTAGGAATAAAATTTGTAACCCTTAAAAATGATGATTTTTTTTTCAAATATTAAACTAGTATCAGCTGGGATTCAATCCATTTCAATCCATTCAATCCACTTTCATGGATTTAAAATTCGCATTAAAAAAGATTTAATCCATTTTAATCCATTCTCGTTTGCTGAGAAGTGCACCAAACTTTTCTCTCTTTAGAATTTTGTAGAGTAAACATTCAAGGACTTCGATTCTTTCCCTCGGAAATTTTCACAAACTGAGAAATGATCACCTTTTTACATTAATGCTTATAGTCTGTGCACAAATAACGACATAATTAAATCTTATGTATGTTTGCAAATAAATCTGACATAAAGACAAAATAATTTGAATTTTTGGAAGTTCTAAAAAAATAATCGAGGGAAAGAATCGAAGTCCTTGGGTGTACAGGGTTGGCCATATTCGACGGAAAGATCTGGCAACTTTTGACAGAGATGTTAGATCGAGTAACGACGTTTCCCATGATTGAAAAAAAAAACATCTTTCCGTCGAATATGGCCAACCCTGTACATAATGTGTGAATTTCAAATTTCATAGTGAATGCATCTCAATTTTAATCTTTGCAATTGATAGCTTGCACTACGCTGGAGTAAACATAATTCTTGCTTGTGTATCATCTTTAACTTTTCAAAGGTTCTACGAAGTTCAACTTGTGTATTTGATTTTATTACAATTTTGAAAGTCAGAGTAGTATCTTATTACTGACGATTTTTAATTCCCATGTACAGAAAAAAGTTACTATTGCGGCATAGCGTGGCAAAGTATTCCACTGTAGATGCTTAA